CTCTCAGACATTTCATTTAACAATTGGTAAGCAGCCGTGGTTTCCCCTTGACTATGCTACAAGCTTATTACAAGAAAGACCAAGTAACATAACATCAAAATAAATCTCCTAAATGAGAAACCAAAAATCAACAATGTGCTAAAAATGGCGTCGAAATGAACATCAACATGGAAGATGCCGGAATGATCATCGGCAAAGACAATTGTGCTGGAATGACCATCAGCAACATGGACAGTGCTCCCCCTCAAGAGGAACTTCTAAACAATGCCGGAATTATCATCGGCAAAGACAATTGTGCTGGAATGACCATCAGCAACATGGACAGTGCTCCCCCTCAAGAGGAACTTCTAAACAGTGCCGGAATTATCATTGGCAAAGTCAATTGTGCTGGAATGACCATCAGCAACATAGACAGTGCTCCCCCTTAAGAGGAATTTCTAAACAGTGCCGGAATGATCATCGGCAAAGACAATTGTGCTGGAATGACCATCAGCAACATGGACAGTGCTCCCCCTTAAGAGGAACTTCTAAACAGTGCCAGAATTATCATCGGCAAAGACAATTGTGCTGAAATGACCATCAGCAACATGGACAGTGCTCCCCCTCAAGAGGAATTTCTAAACAGTGCCGGAATTATCATCGGCAAAGACAATTGTGCTGGAATGACCATCAGCAACATGGACAGTGCTCCCCCTTAAGAGGAACTTCTAAACAGTACCGGAATTATCATCGGCAAAGACAATTGTGCTGGAATAACCATCAGCAACATGGACAGTGCTCCACCTCAAGAGGAACTTCGGTGTCGGAATTAACATCAACAACTTGGACAGTGCTCCCCCTCAAGATGGATGATGAATAGTATAAATACTCCATCTTGGGAAGAAAGAAGATTAAAGAAAAACAAAGCTTCGCGGAATCGGAAAAGTCGCCGGAGACGGCGGTGGGTCGTCGGAAAAGTCGTCGGAGACGGTGGTGGATCGCCAAAAAAGTCGTCGAAAAGTCATCGAAAAAGTCACCGGAAAAGTCGCCGGAGACAGCTGTCAACGGTGGACGACGCGGTCAACGGTGGTCGGTCAACGACAACGGTGGTCAACCCAACAACTTCCCAAGGATCATTCTTTTCTGATGTGACAGATCAGTCTAAGCTGCAGTCACAGAGCATACTAAGAAAAACCCGAAAAAGAAATAGCAACGGGAATCCCTCAAGGAGGGTGATATCTCTCTATAACCATATTGAAATTATGGAAAATAGAACTAAGTTAAACGGATTAAGATTCCTCTTGTTAGGCTCTGATACCATGTTAAATATCATAGATACAAGAGGAAATGATAGTAATCCTTGTTATATTAAACTACACAACATTGGTGCTATTATATAGCAAACCAATTGAAGAATACAAAGAGACACACTCAATGTGGGACTTTTACACTATTAACACTAACACTCTTAACAGATATGATAAGTTATCCTATCATATCTTCTTTATCATGTGCTCCAAACAGGCCCTTAGTGTCTCCCACACTCTTTCTCTCTTCTCCCATTTCTCTCTATAGATTTGCGTAATTTACAACCTGAATTTTTATTTGAATCTAAATCTATGCAATAATTAATGACATGATAGTTCTGGAGGATAAGTATAATTTTTAAAATTTCTTGAATTTGATATAATTGAACAAGGGATAAACCACAAAATTACAAAAAAACGAAAACCACGAATAACCCTTCATTTGAATTAATCCAGAATTACCATAATGTTTATACTTTGTTGTTGAAATTTGAAAAGAATCAACGTATCTCCTTCTTCTTATCTTGTTTTTCACCTTGAAATGGAGGCAGAATCTATGTTCTCTCTATGTTACGTCCAACAACAGGCCTACCTAGTTTCATAACATAGGGCATCTGGGTTTATTTCTTTTTGACACCCCATTTCAATTTTTTATGTAAATGCTCATAACAATGGTTGGGTTGGATGAATTGAGAAAAAAGCTTACACCTTATTTTGCTGCTGAAGCGCCATTGAAGAAAAAGAAAGCAGAGGAGAGAGAATGAGTGAGACGCAGTGGTAGAGAGAAGGGATAAAAGAGTTTATTTTATATCTCCTCCGTTGAATGAGATTATGATTTAACGATATTGAAAAAAGTAGACAAAATAAGAGTTGGTAGAATAACCTATATATATATATAAATATATATAAACATATATATATATATATATATATATTACACATGGCACTACTTTTGCACAACTCATTCTTTTACATAACGCAACCAGCAACCCCCACACACATGCATTGGCGCTAAAGGCGCCATACACACGGTAGCACTAAAAGCGACCTTCATCCTTTGGCGCTTTAGGCTTTGTTTGAGAGTTGATATTAGGAGGGGAAGGAAAGGAAAAGGGAGGATTTTAGTAAGTCTTTCCCTTGTTTGTAAGTTTAAAAAAAAGAGGGGAAGAATTTGTGAATTTTTAGTAAGTCTAAATTGACACTACTACTTTTACACTTTTCTATTTACTTCCTATTTACGCTGTACTTTACGCTATTAATTAGTACACAGTTCTTTACATTATATTGTTTGATTCCAACACTTTGGAGGACTAAGTAGGGTTTACTCAAAATTTATTCTACACCGGCAAAGGAATGAAAACCAATAATCACATAAAATTAATTACAAGATTTAAAAAGGACAAAGTACAACCTAAGAGTTGATGGTTCAGTATTCTCCTAGCTAGACCAAAGTATTTAACCTATCCAAAGATATTTAGATATCAGGATTTGTTCTGATAAGAGGATAGTGAGTTCGATTCTATCACAATTCAGGAGTGAAGAGATATAAATCTGATTAATATTACAAAACGTAGAAAGGATACTTGATGACATAATATACCTCCTGACCTGTCACCAGAAACTCCTCCTGGAAAACAAGGGAAAAAATAGAATAAGTATGGTATTAACATTATTTCTTGTGATCATTTTAGCAAATGAGAAATATGACATGGGAAATAAATTTTAATTATATGGGCACCAATAAATTACTCATTGTATTAAAGTACGGATAGCCATGACTACCTCAAGTTAATATTTTTAAGATAAATAAGACATACAAAATGAGATTTTCTACATTTTTTTAAGCCCAAAATAAATAAAAATGATTTCCTTCCGAGTACAAATTTAAACAATATCCAGTACTAACTAGAAGACTGGCCTCCTGATGAACTGGAAAGGTACATTATTGAAATTGTGACAAGGGATTTTTTCCACCGAAGAGGTAATGTTCCTGATGTGTATAGGGGTGGGCATGAAGGAGATTATGCAGAGATAAATGAAATTACTGATGAAGGCAAAGGAAGTATTGGGGAAGAAAATCCAAATCAGGCTTGTGTAAGTGGGATTCGGAGAAATATGACAGTGGTAAAAAGTGATGAAACTTCTCAAACTTTTATACTGTTTGTGCCTGTTATTATTCTTTTAGTATATCTAATAATTGGCATTGTAATATGCATTGCAACTGGAAAATTGGAGGGCACTCATACAGATGAGCTTCTTCTAGATGTTGCATACTTTACGATAGTAACGGTCACCACGACAGGATACGGAGACCTGATTCCCAGCACCAAAACTGCCAAGTTGTCAATAAGTATTTACATTTTGGCAAGTATGGTATTAGTGAGTATTTTGGTTTAAGAAAACAAAAAGTAAAAAGATATCCTGAAACAAATAAATCTCAAGAAAAAATTTGAAAGAAATGGAAGAGGTGTTAGAATAATATAGGAGATGTCTGACCCAAGAAAAGATATGTCGTCTTTTATCTTAGTGAAAATTATGCTTGAACACCTACAAAGCCAGCAAACTTATCAACACTAATGCTAAAACCAAGCAAATGCACACTCTTTACTCACAAAACATTCTTAATTTCTTGGGGGAATTATAAATTATGATGTAGAATTTAGTTAGGTTAGTAAAAGTTTTGAAGTTAATGTATAACTCAGAAAGAAGAAAGATAACGAGGATACATAAGTAAATACAATAAAGTGAGTGGATATTCTCTTGTCAAAATTTAAATGTGACTAAAGAAAAGAAGAAAAAGAAAATTAGAAAAAGAAAAAAAGAAAAAGAAAGCTTTTCGTTACTCTTGCTCTCTACTATTCGTTGTTGCTCATTTGGGAGAAAGGCACCCCTCTCAAACAAAAGCCCTCATTGCTTTCAAGTTGGTTTTCTCACTAAGTTTCCCCATTGCTCATTGGTTTTCTTATTGCTTCACTGTGCAGGGTTTTGCCTGTTACGAAATGTCCACATTTGGAGTCGCTGCTCAACATTCACTACATTAGCACCACTCACAATGTTTTTTTGTGCTTTGTGACACTTTTTATTGCATTGTTCACACACACATATATATAAGGGTATTTGATGGTTGTTTATTTATTATCTGATTTATATTTTAAAACACACACATATATATATAGAAGGCTATTTGTTGGTTGTTTATTTATTACCTGATTTATTTTAAAACTGATAATATTGATTAACAATTTAGTCGAACAATTTATATATTTTGTCGAGCTATAAATTATTTGAATATGTCAAATTAAATACTTTTATCCTATTAATATATTTTATTTTTTTAATAACTAATTTTCTTAACTGATAATAATAATATGAGTTCATTTTATAAATTAAATCATCAAAACAATGCTTTCCTCATTTTTTTATAAAAGAATAAAAAGTTTACATATTATTATTATTTCAAATATAAAATAGTTATTTATATAGGAATTTTAAATTCATGCAAAGCTCTTTATTATATTAAATAATGCTAACGTGTAAATCTGTTATTGGCTATTGTATACAACGTTACTCTCCTCGCACGCCCATCAAGTTGACTATTTCGGTTTCTTGGACTTTCAACAGAAGAAGACGACGTCGTTTCTTGCTCGAAACCGAAGCAAAGCACTGAAAGCGAGTGTTCTCACTTCTCAGGTCGGTTACCACTCCTCCAACTCTCTAACCCCTCTTTTTCTGTTTGGATGCCGAGAAAATTTTCTAGAAAATTTCCCGGAAAATTTTCTCGCCTCGTTAGGATTGCGAAAGAAGACTGCAAAAAAATCAATGCAGCGTTTTGAATTGCAGTTTCTTTGTCTGTGCGTGTGTTTCTCTGAGCTGACAAACTGATAGTGAATTCAAATTTCAATCGCTGGAAGCAATTCTCTTAGGTGTGGATTCATAGTTATTGTTTGTAACATTAACATACGAATGTTTCTGTCTTTGCATTCGGTTACTGCATTACATAAACATGCTATTCTCCCTGTAGTGTGAGTGTGAGGATGGTCTTGTTTGGAATGTGTGCTTATTGATGATGTTTATTGTTTACTCTGGGATTCTGTATGGTTGTGTGAAATCAACTTTTTTTTTAGCAAGGGGGATTTCTTTGTTCATTCTAGAATTTCAATTTCAATTTTTAGAATTCAATTTTTATTTTTTAATTGTTTATTTATTTTTACTATATATATTATTTTTTATTTTTCAGTAATATTTGAGTTCATACGTCACCGACTCCAACTAGTTTGGAATAAAAGGTGTTGTTGATACTGAAGATGATATTGTTTATTATTTTTTAGGTAATTTGGTTTGGGATAAATGTGATGTTGATGTTGATTCCTACCCATGAGTAATTAATTAATGGAATTTCAGTCCTGCAAAAAAATAAGGAATAGAAGAAGAGAGAAGGAAAGAAAAGAAAAATTGGGCCAAGTGACTGTTTGAGTGAAATTTGTGACTTATACCTTCTGAAGTCTTACTAGTTTCTATTGAAATTTGTTGAATGGATGTAGCTACTAATGGTTCACGTTTTCTTGTGCCTTCCCTGTTTTATACTCAGCTTGTTCTCTTTGTAATCTTTTACCGTGTGTATTTCTTGCCTGCTTTGTTTTGTTTAACGAATGAAACTTCTATCCCATCACAAAAATGGTGAGAAAAATTGTAGGTTTTGTTGAGGGCATATACTGATATTAAAGAACAAGGACAGAACTAAGTCTTCTGTTTGTAACTCGGCCATGATTGCGCAGAGTTTTGCAATGAAATTATAACTCTACTTTTTAGCTTTTAGCCCCACACATGTGAACAGAGACAGGGAGAGAGGGGGTGAAAAACGATAAATGAGCTTTCGTTGATTTATGTTTTCATGGCAGAACAACTTCCATTTTTATATTTTTATTCACTGACATAAAACATCTGTTGAAACCAGTCCTAGTTCTTTAATGGAGAGTTCTGATGAGGAAAATGATGGAGTCTCTGGGAACCATGTACCTAAGGAACTGAGTCGTTTAGCATCTAATGGTGTGAAATTTGTTGATGAAGTACTTAATGGTCAAAATGAACTTTGTCTGGAGAATTTCCGCATGGATAAACTTGTTTTTTACAAGTTGTGTGATATCCTGCAAGCCAAGGGCTTATTACATCATACAAATCGAATCAAAATTGAGGAGCAACTGGCCATATTTATGTTCATTATTGGACATAATCTGCGGACAAGGGCCGTTCAAGAGTTATTCCGTTATTCTGGAGAAACTATTAGCCGTCACTTCAACAATGTTTTGAATGCAATAATGTCTATTTCGCTGGACTTCTTTCAGCCTCCTGGCTATGATGTTCCTTCAGAAATCTTTGAAGATCCTAGATTCTATCCATATTTTAAAGTAAGATTTCTAGAAAATAGTTTGATCAGTATCTTGTTTGGGGTTTATTCTATCTCACTCTTTGAATATTTTTTTATAGGATTGTGTGGGAGCAGTTGATGGTATACATGTACCAGTGACAGTTGGTGTAGATGAACAAGGACCTTTCCGCAATAAGTACGGTTTACTTTCACAGAATATTCTGGCAGCTTGCTCATTTGACCTCAAGTTCCATTATGTTTTGGCTGGCTGGGAAGGTTCTGCTACAGATTTACAAGTTCTTAATTCAGCAATCACAAGGAGGAATAGATTGCAGGTCCCTAAAGGTAATATTTATTTGTAAATGCAGTTATGATTTGGATCGTAATACTGTTGGGATTCTGTCTCTTGGCAGATGACAAGGTCAACTTTTAACTCTTAGTTCTATGAAGCTAAAATGAATATTTTTTTTTGGTAAACAGCTAAAATGATTTTATTTATAGGGTTTTATAAGAGTTATGTTGTAGGAAAAATGATTGTGTAATGTTATAGAGATTCGTTTTGCGTGCTTTAGTTTTTTTTTTTTTTTTTTTGCTTTAAAAAGTGCGGGCCCCACAAAATGTTGTGTGTGTAGGAAATTTTTTTGTGTTATGTGACATGATAGATGTAAATCCCTTATTTATATATGATTAGGAAAACTATGCTTTTTATCCTTTAAATTCATGTCAATTTTATTTTTTATAATAAAAGTTTTATTTGTTTCAAATTTCAATGATGTCCTAAATGAGACTAAAAAGTTGCAATGTTTTCCTGTTGGCTAACCCGTCCAACTATTTAATGATTTTTATCGTGGGGATTAAAACTAGTTAATGAAAATTCATTACATGTTGCCTATGTGGCACTTTCACCGCCCACTAGAAACATTGATATGGAAAAAATTGCTTCCAACTCAGAAAAAAATTATGTCATTTGGTTTATTATTATGAAATTACGCATGGTTTGGTTCATCACTTCTTTGTACTGAGAAAGAATTTTTTTATTTTATTTTTTAAAAAGTCTTTCTTCATCTTCCTCTTCCTTCTCTCTCTTCCTGCACTATTTGGACCGGGCTCTTCTTTCTCTCCTACAAGTGAAGCGGCAAGCCCCACCTTGAAAATACTAGATTCATCCTGTCAACTCACGAATTTTCAAACTTGATGATATTTCTGCTCAATTCCTCAATGACTCTCGGAATATATCTCCCTCAAGATTCTTCTTTCCATTTCTCACATGGAGTCTGACATTGGTTGTATGGACAACTAAGGTGGGGTTTATAAGGTCTTGGGCACTCCCATCCTTTGAGCTAACTTTTGGAGTAGTGCATCTCAAGGTTCTTATCAAATGGTATCAGAGCCTTCCACTATGTCTCCCGGTTGCAATCAAGCGGTGCGGGTGGTGACGCAGGCATTGCAGTGTTCGCCCGGGGCTAGTAAAAGATTAGCGCAAAGCCATCCCCCGTGTGGGCGTCGAGGCTGTGGAGCGTGGTGGAATGTTAGGACCCATTTGCAAGGTATGGGACTTGGAGTCCCACATAAGTTGTATGAGAAATTAATGTGGGGTTTATAAAGTCTTGGGCACTCCCACCCTTTGAGCTAGCTTTTGGGGTGGCACATCCCAAAGTTTTTATCACAGTCCCTCTACTTGCCACAGGCAAAGCTCAATTCTGTTCAGGAGTGGCTGTTTAATTGGAGACTAGTGATATTGGAGCTGAGCTGCCAGGTCAATGAAGTTCAATTCTGCTCATTGTTGGGTTTACTGGATGTTATGTTATCTCTGCAAATGTCCATTAATTTGGTTTGGAAAAATTTAAAATAGCACCTCTAAAGGATTTTCTTATTACCTATTCTTTAACTGCAGTAATTGAATTTGATAGAGAGAATACATGTTTTTTTATTATTTTGCTGATATGAACTTTTATTTGGTTGTAGTTGTAAGAGATTGATACTTAGAAGGTGGCAATGCCACTTAGGTGACTGGTGATCTATTGCTATGTTTTCTCGTTGAGTTAGTCAACAGGAAAACATTGCAACTTTTTCTGTTAAATTTAAGACATGATTGAAACAAATCAAACTGCGACAAAAATGAAACTTGATGCAAACTTTTAGGGACAAATGATCAGTTATTCCCTATGATTACTCACTTTTAACTTTTACTTCAAATATTATATTAAAACACTTTTTATGATACAGGTAAATACTACCTCGTAGACAACAAGTATCCAAATGTGCCAGGTTTCATTGCTCCATATTCTAGTACTCCCTATCACTCCAAGGAATTTCCCAGTGGTTACCATCCACAGGATGCAAGTGAACTGTTCAATCAACGGCACTCATTATTGCGAAATGTCACCGATCGAACTTTTGAGGCTTTGAAGGCACGATTTCCTATATTGATGTCTGCTCCTCCATACCCATTACAAACGCAGGTGAAGTTAGTGGTGGCAGCTTGTGCATTACACAATTACATTCGCAGTGAGAAACCAGATGATTGGCTTTTCAAGATGTATGAAGAGGAGGCGAAATTTCCAATGGAGGAATCACTACCCCCATTAGAGGTGGAAGTACAACCAAATTCAGATGTTGAGGCCCAAACCGAATCACTGGATCTTTCTTTTGATACTGAAGAAATTGCGTTTGATTCTCAGTTAAGGGACTCCATTGCAACTGAAATCTGGAATGATTTTATCCATGATCTGCCCCCCATGTAAATTTCTTTAATCAGGTTATATGCTCAGGCTTGAAGTTTCAAGTTTCCTCAGGATCTTGAGGCCCATGATGTTGAGGCCCAAACCGAATCACTGGATCTTTCTTTTGATACTGAAGAAATTGCGTTTGATTCTCAGTTAAGGGACTCCATTGCAACTGAAATCTGGAATGATTTTATCCATGATCTGCCCCCCATGTAAATTTCTTTAATCAGGTTATATGCTCAGGCTTGAAGTTTCAAGTTTCCTCAGGATCTACAGGATATAGGAGATTATGTGATATATACATTCATAGTGTACATTGGCATTTTGTTTATAAAACATAAATATACCAGTGGATCACATGTCATGTCATCTTATAAACTTTTTGCCTTTAATTTTTATAAGGTGGATCATACCCTTCAATTTTGGGGCAAATGAATTTTCCAATCCCTGTTGAAAAACTTCCTGATCGTTAGAGTATGTTTCATTCAGATTTTCAATTGTATATTTTGCTTTAAGATTTTCTTTAAAAATTAGTGGTTGCTCTTTTTCTTTAGATTTTACTAACTTTTTCTGTCCAAATTTAATAAAATTGTTTGGAAGGTGTCTTTTGCTTTCTTTACACCCTCTCAGCACCAAGATAGAGCTCGTGTGGCAGACCATCATATTCATAAAGCCAAAAGAATATACAGCTGGTGTACAGTGTACTCAAACAAATGTTCATGGGACCATTATACAGAATATGTTGACATATATTACCTGCATACGTGACATTAAATGTAAGGGAAAATGAAGGGACCAAGACAGGTAAAAGACTTAGCTTGCAAGGTTAATCATGTCAATGTCATGTTATTGAGTTTTGGTACTTTGGATCCAGTCTTTTTTTGGGTGAACTTTGGGTTCAGTCTTTCACAAGATATTAAAATATGAAATATTCCTCTCTCTTCTTTAACTTCTGTGTGAGTTTTTGTTATGGTAATCCATGAACTTCAAAACATTTTCAATGTGTAGTACTAAAATATTAAACTTTTCATTCAATATGAATGAGGGATCTTCGGACCTGAGAGTTTTCACATGAATCAGCAACCCCCAATTGAACTGTAAAGTTAAAGACAACTCACAAGCCCCACATGAGCTTTTAGTCTAAACTGCTAAACTAGGAAGGACCATATGAGAATGATGTGGTAGACCTGTGTCATGTATGATGGCATCACCGCTTTCCACTTTATGCAAATTTCTTGTGATCTTATATGGCATGACCCTCTTTAAGTATTATGTTTTCAATCCCAAAACAATGTTAAAAGACTTATGATTTATGAACTCTTTACGAGTGAGCTTTTGCTCCTCTGCATCTATTCTAGTTAAATGTCAAGGGTATCTTGCCAATTGCAGACCAAGATCATTAACCTTTTAGTCACCTTTTATTTGGGCCATATAGATGTATACTATATCATTTTGGACATTAGATCATGTGATTATCCCTTTCAAGCTAGCTTTGGCTTGAATTTAAGATTTGAAGCATCATTTTCTTATAATTTACTTAGACTGTCAATGAAATTTAATTACATCAACGTTTCTTCTTGGCAGAATTTATCTTATATGTTGATATCTTTAGTCATTTCCTAAAGCATATTATAATGGTTCATATTATGAGTCATTTTTTACCCCCTGCACCCATTCAAAAATCAAAACTATACTACATACTACAGTAGGTATTAATCTTTCAATTATTGGACTGGCCAATTTTTTTAGCTTTAATTACATGAACATTTCTTCTGGACTGAAGCTATAATGTTGCATAATTTAATATTACTTTGATCTACTTAACCATTCCTTAAAGCATATCATAATGCTTCATTTGTTACTTATTAATTTAAAATGATGTGACTGTAATCTTCTAGCTTATTATAGGAGACTAATATGACTCTACTTGAATGTCTAAAAGGTTTGCACCCCTCTATCCACCTAGGGTTACTAAAGGATATAAAAATAATTTTTTTTTAAAAAAAATATATTTTTAAGGGAACCACATAAAAATAATTGATTTGTTTCTCGTTGTTATTCATCTTCAGTTAAGAAATAAGAAAGCAAAATAAAAGTTATATGAAAGAAATTATATGAATGACAAACATATTTCTTTTTAACATACACTGCATTTAACTATGCGTTTGTTTTTTTTTTTTTTGCAGTCATTGCAGATAAATTATCTGCAATAAGTTCAATATAATATTGTTTTAGGACAAAAATTATGATGTTTTTGTAATTTTAATTTATTGTAGAATTATTATAGTCTTTATAATTATAATTTTTTAATATTTTAATTTTAAAACAATGTCATTTTAAGAATAAATGCAGATAATTAATCTGCGTTAACTAAACAAAATTTTGTCCTCTTTGACTATTGTGTCTAAAAGTCGGCAGTACAAAAAATTCTTTTCTGAACAGAGAAAAGAAGAAAATGTAGTAATCTTTTGGACACAATAACAATAGTCGAGGCGTCTTATTCTTACCAATGTATTATCAAATGTAACCAATAAGAATCTAAAAAGTTGAGAGAGACAAGAGGAGAAGAGGACTAAGCAATCAGAAAAGCATTAATATTAGGTGTTAGCTTGACCATTATTCATTAGGAAATTGTATGATGTCCTTTTTTTTTATTAGTAAAGACATGATGTCCTTTTGTACATGGTGTTTCTACCTAGATGGTACTGTTTTGTAAGTATCGTATGATTGTTGTGTATATTTCAATAACTTAATATTTTTGTCCTTAAAATTTGTGCAAAAGGATCATTCTTCAAACTATATTCAATTTTCCAAATATAAACTGTGAATTTGATTCATAAAAACAAGAAACAACTGTAAAAGAATAAAAAACATATAGGTTTATAATTGATAATTAAAAAATCGTTGAAATTATAATAAAATATGCAATTGTATACTTATATTTTTTTTAAGTAAATGATTTTTCAAATTTAATTTGAACCAGTAAAGCTTATTTCTATTCCAAAATTAACTCACAATATATATATATATATATATATATATATATATATATATATATATGAAATAAGATCAATTTACACAATGTAAAATTAAAAAGTCTTATACAAAATCTTAATCATTAATTTTTGTAAATTTAATAATTATAATTTATTGGATCATATTAATTAATTAATAAATATTATTCAATAAATTACAACCATTAGAAAAATTACAAATGGTTAAAATTCACTATTAATTTTTTTATTGAATTATTATAACTTCTACACTTTTTTTTTAAAGACGTATCTTTCACTTTAGAGGAATTAAATAAAGTGCATAAACATTGTTTATACAACTTAAAATAACCTACATAAACAGTGTAATATCCAAATTCCAATTCAAATACCTAACATTTTTCTTTCTTTTTCAGGCAGGCATGTAGCCATAGCCCACCACCATTGATAGTGATAATACTAAGCCCTGCTACAGGCAACTTATACATCATTTTCCCAAACCAGAAACACCCCATGACCCAGCTAGGTGGCAATAATCATTTCAAATTCCTCATTTCATCCACCAATATCCTCTTTTTTTTCCCCATCCATTCCTAGTCACAAATGGTCCATATAAACCCTCAAATTCAACATATTAATAGTTCCAAATTGCCATAAACCACTTTTTATTTTCCCCCAAAAACCTCTACATTCTACAACACCCTCAAAAGATAGTTTCTTTCTTTGCTCCCATCATCCCAAAACCACAAACAACACACAACAATGCTAGATCCAGCAACTGAGTTGGTGCCACCACCATCTTCACCCACCATCTCTTCCATTTCATCCTCTGATCTTGACACTGAGGTATCATCACAAATTCACAATCACAATCACACCCTAAATTCTCAATTTTTTTTTAAAATTTCCATCAAACAACTTGATTATTTTTTTTTAATTTTTTTTCGCACCCCAAAATTTCAAGTATGTTAAAGTTTTCATTTTTAACATGAATTAATTTGAATTTTTTGTTTTTTTGTTTCTGGGGTTTTGAAATGATAGTCAACAGGATCATTCTTCCATGACAGAAGCACCACATTGGGGACTCTAATGGGAGTGAGCTTCCCAGCCATTGCATTCAGAGTCCCATCACAGCACCGGGACCCACATTCCGCCGCCGCTGTCATAGGCGTTTCAAATAGGGCCTCCGCCGCCGGAGCCGCCAAGAGGAAGAAAAAGACCCACGCCGCCGCCGCTGCGGCGGTAGCTGAACGGCGGAGGAGGTGGTGGCAGCTGTGCAGGGACGGCGACGCCAGGCCGGCTTCGCTCGGCGAGTTCCTGGAGGTAGAGCGGCGGTTCGGCGACGGCGGGTTCTACGGCACGGCGGCGGAGCTAGAGGGAATGGTGGCGGGCCATCAGCAGAGGAACGGCGGGAGGGTTCTGTTCGCCGACGGGAGGGTTCTTCCGCCGTCGGAAGACGTTGACGACGGAGAATCGGCGGCGGAGAGCCTCTGTAACAGGTTTCCGGTTTCGCTCGCCGGAATATGCAGCGGCGGCGCTGGATAGATAGGAATGTTCATAGAGCTTTTGAATTTTTATGTTCTTCATAATAAATTTTATTTTTGTTTTATTTTTTAAAAAGGAAATTTTGTGGTTTTATTTATATTTATATTTTTATTAATTGTTCGTGTTGCTGCCTAATTGCCAATTGGTAGATTAAGATTCTTTTTGTCTGTGGTTTCCATGCAAGAAAAAAAAAGCATGCTTTGGCTTTTGGACTTTTAACTTTTTCTCCTTTTCTTCTTTTAATGTAATTATGTATATGGTGGTCCACGTTATAATCATATTAAATGGGTTTAATATTTCTCCAATGAGATAAAGTAATCTCCCGTAATTTTAAAATAATGTCATTTTAATATTAAAAAAAAAATTATAATGATAAAGATTAATATAATCTGAAAATAAAGTTAAGGTTATTTTACCTATCTCTTTTTCTGTCTACTTTTGTCTATTATTCTCCAACACTATTAGATCAAAATCTCAACTATTTTTATTGTTTCTTTCTTCTATTAAGATTCTGATATAATAATATTGAAAAATGTTAAACAGAAAAAGAAAAAAGAAAAACCTATCCAAAGCTAAAAGGAAGTATAAAAATATATTTCTCCCTTGAGATGAGATAATTATCTCAATGAGTGAAGAAACATTAAATCTTAAATAAATACATAATTATTAGGTGATAGCTAATTGATCTTAATCGTATGCTTCATTTGCGCCACAAATCAAATTGATTAGTAAAGCGTGGATAAGAAAGTTTCTTTGTTGAATAAAATCAATATCCAAGCAAGTTTAAAAACAAAAAGTTTGGAATTGCTTATATATAAGAGCCACAGTTCAAGTAGTATTACAATTAAGCCTATGCAATTTTAATTTTGTAGTTAAATCCCTTCAAGTCCCATTTGTCTGAAATTTGTAGTTTAATCAAGTTATAAATGTCAAATTCGACTCCATAGTAACCCCAATCTTATTCAAAAGGGAGAGATGCACCATTACTAGTAGAAGACATTAAATGTATAACTTAAGTATATATATTGTACTAAATCACATAATTTTTTACTGATAATCAAGCTCTATACAGGGAAAGAGATGCTCTAAAAAAATATGAGCATCACACTCCAACCAAATATTTAGGAGAATTTCATGAATCTGAGTTGGGAGAAAATGCTACAAAAATAAAGGGATAAACCCAATATTTATCAAGCACACCAAACAAATTATTCCAAAGGAAAGTAGCTGCCTAACAATGTAACAATGCTGCTGTTTGTGAACTTGGTTTGATCATAAATGCCAAGAGAAAGAACAGCATGGGGATTATGAACCTGCAATACATCATTTGAATCATGTTAAACATCTTTTTGTGGACTTCAGTTCTTAACTATATATAAAATTTAACCAGAAATAGATTAACCGTTAATCTGAATCATGGACAAAAGATGCATAGATTATATCTTAAACCAATATATTAATTTATTTATTTTTCAATAAAGTTACCTTCCTTCTGATCCAGCGTTGATATTAGTAGCAACAGTTATCCAAGTTGAGTGGTCGAACTGTATGTCTATATTGAACAATGGAATCAACATATCTGCCAGCAGATACACAAGAAAGTAAATTCAATATGCAAAACTGTGTCCAAATTTTCTACCCTCATAGTTGAATCTAAAAATAAATAAATGAAAAACCTATCCAAAATACAAAGTTATTAAAACTGTAGAATTAGCAATAACACTGGTGTTGTCTGGTTGTTAAAAGATCACAGAGATAATATTATTGGAGAACAAAATGGTGTAGATTAGTAATAGCAGCACATAGAGCTATAATGTCATTTTATTTAAGTTCCTACTTTTTCATTGTATTATACAAGGGTTATAAATATACAAGATCAAGTATAAAAAAACTCAACATTTCAGCTAACATCTATATCAAAGAAACACTTAATAGGCAAAAAAATTTGCAAAGGAGGATGGAAAATAATCACATAAAGACAAACAAATCAATCAATGGTAACAGCCCAATGTTAAAAATAAGTTTAATAAACATATGAATTGAGCAAGGACAGCTAGCCCTGGTGTAGTCCAACTTCTCTGATAAAAAACAAATTTGCATTTGCTAAGCATTTAGACAAACCCATCATTAGTAAAAGAAAAATTTTGAGTGTAGCTAAAGTATCTCACCAGGTTTTATCAATTGTTCAGACCTCCAGCAATCATTTCTTGAAGCAGTTCCTCTGCCCTATCATTCTATTTTTTTTTTCTTTCTAAAAGAAAGGCCGATATTTCATGGAACAAATGTTCTTAGCAGAGTCCATTGGTAATGTTATATGCAATAATTTTCACACAAAAACTTGAACCAAAAGATGCTGAAAAAAATCTCTCATGCAATCTTCAGTCTTCAACCTATGTAAAAACCATCAACCAGTGAACGGTGAATTGGTGCCAATCAAAACAAATTCCTTTTTGATATGCCGTGAAATTAAAGCAGTCACCTTGTCAAGTGATAGGTTGCCGTCCGTTATTATGCATGTCATCACCGAGCTCTCATGCATATGAAATTCTCCAAGATTTGCATAAGCCTGAGCCATTAATAAGAGAACTATGAGTTTATAGTATCAATAGTCAGATTGTTGGGACAAATTTCTTTGAAGAGATTCATGGCTTCATTCATCCTTTTACCCATGTCAAGTTGTGAAATTCATTAATCAAGATATATGACTAAAACATCAGAAGTCGATCCCCTTTCGAACATTACATTAAATAATCCAATTGCCTAGGGAACATGTTGGATTTTGGAAAAACCGTCTAACAAGATATTGTAAGTGATAACATTAACTGGTGGACAGCCATGCATTGCATTGAAAAGCTCCCACGCACTAGAGATTCTCCCAGATTTACTCAAGCCATAAATAAGAGAATTATAAGTCACAGAATCTGGAATCAAGTTTTTGCAATGCATTTCTTTGAAAAGGTTCATGGCTTCATTAATCCTCTTACTCTTGCAATACCCATTTATCAAGATGTTATAACTCCAAACATTAGGAGTCAATCCCCTTTCAAACATTTGGTTAAATAATGCAATTGCCTTGTCAATATGTTGGATTTTGCAAAAAGCATCTAACAAGATATTGTAAGTGACAACATTAGGGGGTGGACCACCATCATGAATTGCATTAAAAAGTTCACATGCATAAGAGATTCTCCCAGATTTGCACAAACCATCAATAAGAGAACTGTAAGTTACAGTATTAGGAGCCAAATTCGTGCAATGCATTTCATTGAAGAGGCTCACAGCTTCATCAATCTTTTTACTCTTGCAATACCCAATAATCAAGATGTTATGACTCCAAACATCACGCACAATACCCCATTCAACAACTGCATCAAATAATTTTCTTGCCTCACTCACATTATCGTGTAAGCAATATCCACTCATCAAAGTGTTGAAAGTAACAATATCTGGTTGCTGACCTCTTTCAATCATCAAATTACACATATCTTGAGCTTCTATGAGCATTCCTTTTTTACCTAATGCATCAATTAATACATTGAAGGTATAAACATTTGGGTTGATGTTTTTATCAACCATTTCACACATCAACCGAGTAACTTCTCCCCATTGACCCATACTACTAAAACCATGAATTAGAGAAGTGTAAGTAAAAATATCAGGAGATATTCCCCGGACATCAATTTCAGAATATAAATCACATGCCTCAGTTACAAGTCCATCTTTGCATAAACTGTCAATAATCATATTATACATTACTATGTTAGGCTTAACCACTTGTATTTCCATCTTTTGCAGCAACTGCATGGCATCTCTTGTTTGTCCTATTTTACACAAGCCATTGATCAAGGTGCCATAACTAACTTCATCCAACAGAAATCCTTTTGCTACCACACCGTCATGAAAGTCCATTGCTTTCTTAATCTCACCATTGATACAAAGACCTTTCACGAGTGTAGTCAATGTTATGGTATTGGGTTGATAACCCCTCTTGAGAACCATGCCCAACACAGAAAAAGCAAAACCCATCTGACCCAAGTGGCAGTAACAATTAATCAAAATACTCAATGTGACTATGGAAGGAGTGATTCCTCTCAACCCCATTTGTTTAGAAAGTGAGATAGTAGTTGAATAATGCTTCATCTTCACTATTGACCCTAAAATCATGTTAAATTCTACAACAGATGGAAGCGGATGCAGAGTAATCAAGCGAGTGAACATGGCCACAGCATCATCAATGGCATCAAACCCAAATACTATTTTCGCATTTTGTCGTGGGGTACGAGAAAAAAACCTCAGAATTGATGGAGTAAGAAAGACACTAAATTTGGGGATAGCATACCTTAACCTTATCGCGGTAGCAGTATACAACATTGCAACCTTCTTTCCAAAGTCGAAGAAGGATGTCTTTCTTCGACGTTTCCATTCAATGCTTCTTCCCAGAACTCTTCTCTCCAAGCCTTGGCACAACAATTGGTGTTGTCGCCATGTGAACAATAGATCACAGGTTGGATTCATATGATTAGCCTCTTTCAAATGCAAGGTAAAGCTGCCTACTATAGACCCACACAATAGGTCTAACCCTTCCTGTGCATAGCAGGAACTTTATAGCATGAGGCTTTCTTTTTTATTATTATTTATTTTCATTCATTTCATTGAGGTAATTAGGCAAACAATCTGCACAAAAAATGAGCAGAGAGGAAAAACAATCAGATGAAATAAACATCCTTAGGTGGATGACAAAAATATAATTAAAAATTATAAAAGAGAACATATATAGAAAAGGGATCTTTTGACTCCAGTATAAGACTAAGAAATCTTACTCTCATATCCGTCGTGATTTCCGTCCATCTAATGATTGTAGTTTATTGAGTTATATCAGTTAATTAATTATCAATTCCAAATAAACTACAATCGTTAAATGGATGAAAATCAACGGCTGAGGTGAGAGTAAAACTTGTTAGTCTTATACTGGAATTCTCTTATTTGTAAATGGGATGGATGATAGCTTAGGAATGAGATTATGGATGATTAAAAAAAAATTAAAAAAATTGGCTTTCATTATGACAATAATAAAGTAATGAGATAGCATGTAAACGCCACCAGTTGAAGGTTATGGGTATGACTAAAAATAAAAAAGTAAATTTCTGACTCAACCAAAGGCTATAGCTGATACAGGTTAATGAACCACTGAATTTGTGTATATAACAAAGAAGTGAAGTTCATGGTGTTTCAACATATACAAATAAACCAAATTTATTATTACAAGCTTGCTGCAATATAAGAAAAGTACCTTCTTTTAGGGTGGGTGGACCGGGTTCAACCGGTTCGTGGAGGTGGAGGCTCACTTCGTTCTCCTCTCTTTAAAAATCACACAAGACTTTGAATTGCAGAGAAAACGGATCGGATGACAACCCACAATCACGACGTGAGAATTTTGCAAATATAAGATGGTGGAAGAAAGGGGGTTAGGGTTCGTGAATCACAATTAGTTTTTTTTTTTTTTTTTTTTATATATATACAGAAGATAATTTGAAGTCTTATGGTTAAAAAATATTAAGCCCTTATTATTATTTTTAGTTTCTTAGCATAACTTTCTTATAACCTCATATTTTTTATTAAAAAATAATCCTTTAAAGAAGCTAATTATTTATAAATAAATCATCAATGATGATTATATCACTTTCTATACCAATTTTTTTTCTCAATCACATCTGATCACCTTTAATTTTTCATGAATGATTAAAATCCTTGACATAATTATGTTAAATAGAATATCACAATATCCACTTTCCTTTTGCTTATTTTCTTGTTTTTACTATATAAACTTGTTAAAATTATGGGAAAAAATGTGTCATTTTAAATGACACACCTTACATTCTTTCACTCTCACAAAGAGGTAAGATCCACATCTTTAAAAAAAATTTCCCCCACTCTTTTCCACATGATTTATCTCTTTTTCTCACTTAAAATGACACAATTTTATGTTCTTTAAAATGATACAAAATTATTTCAACGTTAGTTAAGAAACCTTAAATACTCTCTACTAATACTTCTATTTATTTATAAAATAAAAATGTTTTTGAGTTCTTATATGAGTGCTCATAAACTGGGTTAAATTGAGTTTGACCAGACATAATATGAGCTCACTTAAATTAACTTATTTAAAATTGATAATTCCCCAAAGGAACTATTTTTGAAAAATAAAATAATTATTATTTCTTGAAAAAATTAAAATGAAAGATAATTATATGCACATAAACTATTATATTTGACTAGGCAAATTTTTAATTTTCTATAAACATCCGACACAGACCTAGTGAGAGACTATGACCGGATTGGGACACCAAGATTATATATAGAAAGTTTAGGAAATATTTTACATCATTTATTAAAAATAAAAAAATAATTCACTTAATGCCATTCATCCAACCCCTCCTTTATAATAAATGACACATGAGTCTATTTTTTAATAATTGTTCCTACCCGATTTGAATCAAACTGGTTGAATAATTGATGAACTAATAGACAATATAATAATAATAAAAAATAATATCATAGGTAAAAAAAACCATTGCCATCCAAAGCTTCTGTGGAGGTTTCTCTTTAGGAGCCAAGCCAGGATTTGATCTCATTTATTGAAATAAGTTGAATAATGAGTCAATAACATTGTGGCATAACCCTACAATCAATCCAAATATATTCTCTTACAACTACTAACAGTAGTTATTTTCTAATAAAAATTTGACCTTTCAGATAATAAATATCCTCATCTGCATCCCCTTTACATCAAAATTTTAATCATCTTTTTTATTGTTTTTCAATAAATATTATCTCACTTTGATTCCATCATTGTTATTGAGGTGGGGGTAACTTTCTGAGAAGACTTCACTTGAATAGCTACAAGTTTCTTGAAAATGATTCTTGACAACTGAAATTTGAAGAAAAGATTGGGAAGACAATACTCCAAGGAGATAGATCCATCCAGAAGCCAAATTAAGGGTATGTGTCTGTATGTTTCAACTATAACAACAATGAGTTTGCTATCTCCGTTTAGTTTTCTGTCTTAGCCTCTTAAAAGCCATAAATGTAACTGCTGCAGAAAGAGAATACCTGTCCCAAATACAAAACAATGTCAATGTTTAGTTTTACTTATGCTTTCAACCTAAAGCAATCATAAAGCTAAAGCAATACAAGTATAGATACCAGCAAAACAACTACAATACATAAAAGAAAACTTTTAATTTGACAAAAAAATGCATCAGTTATGGAATATATCTATATCCTAACTACCTACCCAAGAATCCCTTAAAGGATAAATACCCAATTATCCTAAAGGCATGAAACATTAAAGCTACCAAGGATAGAATCTCTATCCCTACAGAAAGGAGTTGAATCCTACTACAACTGGGAGATCTACACAGCTCAAGAGGTAACCCATACAAGGCTTAAGATCCCCGGGTACACACATTCTGAACTCATTTACTACTTCAGCCCACACTGTGCACACACCCACGTCTTAGCTATAAGCCTATTGCTTGTGCGCAGTAATTGGGATATTGGCTATAAGCCAATTACGATATCTGACTATAAGATATCTCTAAGCGCATATCTTGCTATATTATTATACGGTTCTCTAGGACCGAACAACATCAATATTCAAAATGCAAGGAGAGAAAAGTAAGTAGCAAACCATGTCAATGTGTAGTTTAGGTGATCCTGAGGCATAACCGAACTTTTGATCAAAGTATTGACATCCTTGGGAACAGGGTAAGGATTACTTGGATTGACATTTTCATTAATATCTTCAATATAGATAGTATTTTCTGGAAGGCCGCAAGCACGGGCGATACCGGGAACATCAACATAGAACCACTGGGAAGACTCAGGATCATTTGCAGGAACAAATATGCTTGGCTTCTCACTTCCACGAACTACACCAACTACTTCATTTGGTGTAACAGGAGGGACCTGGTCCTGTAAGTTGCACAAAAATAAGATTGAACCTCCATTTTCTGCATCTAACAAGGTATAGGAACATGACTAAAGGGAGAGAGAACCTCAATGATAACAGGTTTTTTAGACCAAAATCTCCACCAAGATTTAGTTCTATCAGCCTGTGAAGGGGAAGCAAGTGCATCTGCAAACTGTTCATCTTGTGAAGCCTCTAAAAATTTGTCTTTCCAACTGCGGGGAACCCATCCTCTGTTGACTAGAATTGGAAAACCCACACTGGATGAAACAATACATCAACATCAACATCAACAACACCTTTATCCCAAATTAATTGGGGTCCGTGGTAGATGAACCCACATGAAAAATACAAAACGGTTGAAAAAAATAAAAATAAAAAATAAATAAAAATAAATAAATAAATAAATAAAAATAAAAAAAATAAACAAATAAAATAAAAATATAAAATAAGATAAAATAAAATAACAATATATGTATATATAAATAAATAAAAGTAAAAAAGAAAGGGACAAGAAGAAGTGGGGGAAATGAAGGGAAAAAGGACTAAAAAGGGACCATCTGGAACATAGGAATAACAGTGGGTCTAACCCTCCACCATACTTATAGCTTTTCTCCATTCCGTTCTAAGACATACTGTCCGCCAATCTATATCCCACTCCATTAAATCTTGTTTTACTACTTTCCCCCAAGTAAGCTTCGGTCTACCTCTGCCTCTTTTTGTGTTGAGCTCTTGGTAACAAACTTCTGTTCTTACAGGAGCATCCATGGGTCTTCTCATCACGTGCCCAAACCACCTCAATCTATGTTCTCTCATCTTCTCGGCTACCGGTACTACTCCGAGAAGCTCAGTACAAATAACACAATAAACCCAATAAACCAGGGAAAAACATTTTCTCATTTTAAAGGAGAAAATTTTTCTCCTACTAGTGACTCAGCATAAGTGGGTCCCACTTTGAATTTTTCTCTCTCTCCACTATTTTGTAGACCCCACTTATACTATGAGTCACTAGTAGGAAAAAGATTTTCTCCTTTGGAAGAAGAAAATGTTTTCCCATAAACCAGAGGCACCAAAGCATGCAAAACCAGCAATTGACAGCTTATGATTAAGAACAAAATGATTGTTGATAATATGTTATAGCCATGTTAACTTAGAAGTGTTAGCACTTAAAGATTATGCTTTGTTTAGAACAAATCCAACATATTCTAAGCCTCAAAACTCAAAAGTTTAGCAAAATTTAGCCACGCGCAGGGGACAGATTGCACCCATGGATATTTATATTGACGAAAATAGAAGACCAATGAAATGAAACATATGTATTGGGCCATAACAAGTGAATAATTTTTCACCGAAAGGAAAAGCTTAAAGTTCATTCAGGACTAATGAAGATTGGTACGATGCAGTTTCAAAACAATAAACATCTATTATAAAGCGAAAGTTGGTATATACTACACAGTGCAATAAACATACATTTTAGAATAAATACTACTATGGAACATTAAGAGCAACACTTTCAACATCAATAAAACACAGATAATGAATTTTCCATCCTTTGATCAAATGGTATTAAAAACAGGAAAAAATGATAAGGAAAATTTTCAATCCATAGTTATCAAATGCGGATTGCGGCCTGATGCAGCCAACCCTCAAAACCACTATAACATTATTACGGGTTGCAGTTCCGGAAATAGCACAAAAAATATATTTATTAGAAAAACAAATTATATGTATATATATATATATGTGTGTGTGAAAAAATAATAACACCTAAAAAAAATACAAATAATAAAAAAATATAAAGGTAAATAATAAATTTAAAAAAAAAAATAAAGGCAGAGTTGACATGTTATCTCTTAGCAATAAGTGTCCAAACTTTAGCTATAGTTGTACTACTTTTAGTTGGAACTATACTTTACTGATTTACCATATTTATCTTAGTTACTTTAATGTTTTACCTTAGTTACCTTTTAATGATGCATTTTTTTTTTTTTTTTTGGGATATAGAAATAGTTTTACCCACTGTTACTATAACCAGGTTACTTGGTTACCGTGACTTGTGAATCACTTATCTGACAAATGTAATTTTCTTTTCTTTGAATAAAGATAGTTCAGAATCTCTTTCTCTTTCACTTTTTCTCTTTCATCCGTTCTCTCACAGTTTCTCTTTTTCTCCTTCATCTGTTTTCTCTCTCTCTCTCTCTCTCTTACTATTTCTCTCACTTTTTCTCCTTTTCTTCGTCAGCTGCGCTCTCTCTCTCTCTCACTCTTTCTCTCACTCAAAGCTTTGCTTCTTCGTTCATGGCTTTCACATTGAACTTCAATACTATAAGCGAGAAGTAGAGAAGGGAAAAAAACGAGCGCGATAAAGAAAGCAAGAGAGGCAGAAGAGAGACGCACAACAGAGAGGCAGAAAGGCAGAAAGAGAGAATGGGTTAGGATTAAAACCATAAAAAGACACTATTGCGGCGAGATTTGGCCGCTATTGCGATCTGGTGCAGCGTGGAGAGGATGGTTGCGCAACTGGCGCGGCTTGCGGCGCAATAGCGCCGCTATTGACTACTATGTTTCAATCCACTATATGTGTAAAGAGTTTTACAGAGTAAGTGAACCATGTAATGCACCTTTTTACAAGATTTTCAGAAAGTGAAAAATTTAATTACTCAAATGATGTAGTACCTTCTAATTTAGTGCTGTACTGTATAAATTTAAACACTTATACCTGATGAAATTTAAGCTTTAATAATAAACAAAATTTACAAGGTACTATAAGAGATTAAAAATTTCTAACTACTTGACTCATTACTTAATTGATAAATCTATTAATACTTAAGCTTTACCTGTCAGGATGACTGTGAACTGGCATAAGAGGTGTTATGAGATAGTAGCCATTTTCAGTAACTCCAGAAATGCTTCTTGAACGTGGTCCCACATAGATTGATTTTTTATCATCAAAAACTCCTTTGCACACCACCTTTCTAAATTCCAGAGAATCTAATTCCTCACTTGATGAATATGCACTACTGAATTTTAATGGTTCCATTTGCAACCTTTTCTCCCGATATTCCAACATTTTAATCTGTAACATCGAAAAATGAAAGAAATTATCAATGAGCTATTCTACATAGCTAATACCTAAACATGGAATCTCATAAGTCCATATAAACCTAAATCAATCCCCAAAACTTTATCCAAATATCCATAACAAATTACATTGAATATGAATGAGATCAACATCTGCTACCATAAATCTCCATCATCCAATATATGTTACCTATTAATAAAGTATTAATGTTTGATTGTAATAAATTTCTTATACCATCATGTGTTTTAAGTCATCCATGTATCACAGAGATGTAAATGAAGAAGGCAATAATCCACAACATGAGCCTATGACTAGAAATTTCTTTGATGGGTTAAAAGATGAGTGACACAGAGATAAATAGTAAATACAAAAGACGAAGCGCAAAATGCCAAAATATTATAAAGCCTTAATGCATCAAACTTATTGAAGTTACCTAGATCACTAATATCAACAGAAACTGATTCAAAATCCCACAATCTTGAGAGTCACAAATAATTGATACACATATCCAGGTACAGGAGCTTGGAGAAAGTTCATGAATTGGTACACATATGTCAAAGGATGCAATACAATAGCACCGCACATCACATTTAAAGACCACAATCCGCCAAGCTTGTAGACTGAGTCCTTTACTTGATCATCATCACAAAGCACAATTTCCCCCCCTCATTCACTAGCCAACACTCGTTGCAAAAAAAACACGAGTATTATAATAATGGTGATGTTACTCTCACATAATTTTCTCTCAAATAACTCACATAATATCAATCAGCACCATTACTTTCCTCCCTCCTCCTCACTTTCTCTCCCCCTTTCTTCATCAAAATCAATGGTTAAAAATTCCATATGTGAGACTATGTGAACAAAAATTATGTGCAACTAACATTTTCCTAATTACCATGAATCAAATGCCAAAAAGACACACACCTTGTCTTCTCTTCTAAAAATCTGCCAAGTCCCAAGGCCAAATGTGATTGCCCCAGGTAGAAACAACAACCATCTAGATGCTTTTCCTTTCAGATACCAAAAATTAAATAAAACAAAACCATCAATAAGCATTAGAAAAAAGTTTTAATTTTTATGCAAGGGTCTTCCCCATTGCCAAAAACAAGATTGACCCACATGGAGAATCCATCAAAGGAACACGAATGAATACATACCCTTTGATTCAGAAGAAGAGGAAAGTGTCGGGTCGGAATCAGAAGCGGCGGAAACGGCGCCGGCGGAGCTGAATGGCCTAACTGCGAGGAAATGGCTGGAGCTCTCACAGCCGCAGACGGCGGAGGCGGCGCGGCGCAGCTCCGCTAGCGTTCTGGCGGCGGAAGCCGATGATGCCATTCGGACATGTGATGTGAGAGAATCAACAGGGAAGAAGCAAATAAAGCTTCGACCAGGGTTTTGTGGGTTTTTAATCAAACTATTATTATTCTTTTTTCTTTGTTAATTTTAATCAAACTATTAAATTTAATTAGACTGGGTTCTCTTTGCTTAAGTTTTTTTTTCTTTTTATCATTTTGGTATTATTTTTTTAAAATAAATTTTATCAAAATGACATTATTTTAAATAATTTTTTTTAAATAATTATTGTTGATTTTAAATCGATCCACCAATAACAAAAATAGATTATAAGAGTGATAATCTTAAAATAATTGTAAGTATAACAGCACAGTATAATAAATATAAAATTTTTAAAAATGAATGTTTATGATTGTCGGATTTAATCCAGTTAAAATAATTAAAATCTAACGTCCAAATTAATTGAGGTTGAAGTTGAATTGGTTCAGATTTAATAAAAATTAATCTCAACTCATATTTTCAAAATTGATTTAGGTTAGGTCCACTCAAACCAGATCTATAATTATCTTAATTGAATATTAAAAACCTTTCAAAGTAATTCGGGTTAAATTGTAATGAACCAATCCATATGAGTATATGACCATGAGCTAAAATGCTAAAGAGTATGTTATCAAAAAAATAAAATAAAGTGCTAAAGAGTAATTGGATTTCGCATTGAGATTAACACATTAATTACACAAGTAAATCTCACTTTTATTCTCTATATATATAATAGTTACTATCTATGAAGTACCGACACTTCAAAAAATTTGACGTGTGGTGTCCGACACTCCAACATGCATTGTGGAAACTCAAAAAATAGTTCAAAAGTTGCGTTGCATTGCGTTTTTAGTTCCAACTATTAGATTCGTTGGATTACGATTATTATTTTATTGAGTTTAATATAAATATTTGGGATATCTTATGTTTCTTTACAAAATTGATGGGTATTATAAGTTTAACTTTATTTTTTTGTTAAATTATTGAATATTAAATATAATATACACTACATAAATTAAAAATATTATTTAATATCAAAACGTGTCCTAACATGTCGAAATCTAATATTTTTTAGAATTAACGTATCAGAATATCGGTGCTACATAGGTTACTATTTTAGTTTTAAAAATATTTTCTTATTAATTTAATTGCTTAATAGTTTAAAGTATCAATATTTTTGTGGGAAATAGAAGTGTACGTTATATCATACAATTTCTTTTTTCTACACACTTAAAAATGTACGGGACCCAATACAATTTTTTCTCTTTTTTTATATGCAATATGACCCACAATATTTATCTGTCTACGGCATGAAATGCAACATTATATTCATCAAACCTTATTTTTGTTCTTACATTAGTGTCTCCAGAAAGGTTTTTGGGCAAGTTTAAAAAACCCCTATGGTATTATTTTTAATCACTTATATTTCTATATATTTTTTAAAAAAAACCTTAACCCATACCCCTCCTTGATACTGTTAAAAAATTAACTATATCTATTCTATCCTTCTTAGAAGAAGAAAATCAAGTGATAAAAAAAAAAAAAAGATATACTTACCATCACAAAAGTTTATCACCCTATAATCAAACTAATCATCATTAATTTTCGTCAATCTAACAGTTATAATTTATTAAAATTTATTGGGTCACACTTATTAATTAATTATTAATTTTCAATAAATTATAATCATTAGATTGACGAAAATCAACGAATATTAGGTTGTTGTAAGAGTGATAAACATTTTTTGTGGTAAGTATATCATGGCCCAAAAAAAAAAACCAAAAGAAAACCTAGAACACTTAATAAAAGAACAAAAGAAAAAAAACAGTAAAAAAAAAATCAAATGTGTCAAAATAAAAAAAATGTATAAAAAAAAGAAAATAGAACAAGAACAAAAAAATAGAAAAAAAATAAAACCAAATATATTAAAAATAACAATAGTGACTGAAAAGACTAAAATTAAAAAAAAAATGAAAATGGTCCAAATGAAAAAATATATATACTGAAGACAAAAAATTAGAATAAAAAATAAATAGAATAAAAAAATCACTTTTTGGTCTTTTTTTCAATATATTTAGTTTTATTTTTTATTTTTATTTTATCCTTGGTCTATTTTATTCTTTTTTATTTATATATGTTTTTTTTTCTATTTTTCTATTTTTTTTTTACTTTTTGGTCTATTTTATTCTCTTTTTTTCCTCATTTTTTTAGCCTTATGCCATCCTATCTACTAAAGAATTTCATAAAAAAGTTCAAAAATCAGAGAATAAAATAGAGATATAAAAACGCCCAAACGTATCTAAATAAAAATAATAAATAGACCTAGGACAAAAAAAATAGAAAAAAGTAAAAGCAAATATATTAAAAATTCATAACTGCGATTTCTTTTTAATTTTATTTTTTATCTTAATTTTTTCTTCTATTTTTTTCTCTTCAATATTTTTTTTTTTTTTGCATTTAGACTATTTTATTTTAAATTTTAATTTTACTTTTTTTTGTCACTGTTGTGATTTTTAATATATTTGATCTTATTTTTTTTATACATTTATTTTTTTATTTAGACACATAACACATTTGATTTTTTATGCTATTTTTTTATTTTAGTCTTTTATTAAGTATTATAAGTTTTCATAATATTTGATTTTCTTTTTCTTTATCACTTTATTTTCTTTTTCTAAGAATAGTAGAATAGGTATATTTATTTAATTTTCTAACAGTATTAAGGAGGAGTGTGGATAAAAAAACCAAAGGGAGCTAAGTGATTAAAAAAAGCGCATAAATATAAGTGATTCAAAGTAATACCACAAGAGAGTTTTGAACTTTTTCCAAGGTTTTTTAATGGACGTTAACGTGATCTGTTATCTGCTTGAATCGGCATTGACGTGGCTGACAGAAAAAAGTTGAGAAATTTCATGTTCACAATGGCATTTACAATATTTTTCAATCAATTATTATTATGCTATTAAAAAACATTTTAATTAATTATTATCATAGTTAAAAAATTCATAAGGTACATAATTAGATCATATTGTGAAAATGAGATTATATGTATACATACTTAATAATGAATCACCTTCCAAAAACAAAAATTAATATAAAAATTGGATTTGATCAATCAGGTAATGGAAGTAAATAACTGCTAGTGCAAAAAATAAAATGCACTGCAATACTGACAGTTCTAGAAACATGTTCATCACTCATTTTGTAATTCATGACATGAAAATTCACAAAACCAAGCTCCAGAGATAAATTTTAGCAGTGAACATAGGAATTGTTTTGATCAGTATCTCAATTGAGGCTCACTCTATGATAAATTATCTAAGCCCAGTATGCGGAGAATGCTAGAGCAATCAACAAAGCAACAAAGCCATGTATTCCATATGGAGTTATCATTTTTGTTGAACTTGTTGCATCTTCTGATGTATCCTCTGCAGGAAGTATGAGACCTAGAACAAGCAAATATAGTTTAGTTATTAACATGTTGATGTCACACTTGTTGACATGTCTACTAAGAGCATGTCTATTGTTACTCAATGGGTATAGTTAAGTTGACAATGCAAATTAGGTGGAAAGGTGGAAAGATAATTTGGGTTTGATTTTCGTCAAATATATCTTTGAAAAGGAGCGAGAAGCTCTAACTATGATTAATCCTCGACTCGAATTAATCCTATGAGTTGAAGCTTATGAGGATATTCAAGGGCCGAATCACCTCAAAAATAATTAAGATCGGTGTATCAAAAAAAAAAAAATACCGTGAGCATAACTAGCAGAATCCCTAAAATTTTGATTTTTTATTATTATTATAGGTATAAAATAGTACCCTTTTTAAATAATAATAAATTATTAGTCTTAATAGTTAGTCCCTTTTTGAAAATATTTGTAATAATTAATCTTTTTGGTTAGTTCTAATAACATTTGCAACTTTAATATTTTATTTTGCAAATTTTGAAGGATAAAGAAAGTAGAAACATAGTCCTACTGCTAGGTGATGATGATTTACCTTCTAATGATGATGGGCTTGCAGCTGCAGTGAAAAGAAACAAAACAAGTTGAAAGTTAAAACCGAGCCATCCATGTTGGGTACGAATGAATGGAAATAGTATGTTTACCGAAAAAAAAAATGGAAATAGTATTACACAATTAAATTAGAGTTTGAAAAATTAAGAAGTGACCCACAATAATTAACTTGAAAAATCCTCAGCTCGGAGGAAAAATTATAAGCAAGAATAGATTATAACTTCTCTTTATATCTAATGAGAGAACAATCACGCCCGTTCTCGAATACAGTTCCCCTTGTACAAAATAGAAAAAAACTCATAAGACGATATATGAATTTTTTTCTCTAAGAATGTGTTGTGGATACCCACTTAGGCCTAGCATGATTGGGTTCCATGTCACTAAGTCTACAGTCTAGAACTTTCTAGAGGACACCCATGGCAAGTCATAGAGGCCCATCATTGGGACATCTTCTTATCCCTGCACTGTTGTCCCTGTACATTGACAGTGGGCAGCGTGTCTTGTCTCATCACTCACACATGGAGAAGGATGGTCTTCTCCAACCTCTACTCATGTTGTTACTCTGCCCCTTAGTAGAGCTATTCAAGCCTCACACACACTCTCCCTTGATACACATACATGAGAAGCTTCACTAGTGCTTTATTCTCTACCATTGCCACTATGAGCATCCCCTATATCAACATACTTCCCCCTCATGAGACACATTTTATGTACACCAATATATATATATATATATATATATATATATATATATATATATATATATATATATATATATAATCGCAGACCCAGAAAATTTTGTTTATATCTACACATTTAATGTAAAAAAAGTTTTAAATGTATTAAAAATAAAAGAATATAAACAAAAAAAAAAAAAAAACTTCAACTTAATATAAAAAAAATAGTAATCACCTACCAAAAAAAATAGTAATCAACAGTCAACTAAATTATTATAATAGAATGATTACAACCAAACATAAATCAATTAGAGAATAAACAAACAGTTATGACTAAAACATTCATAGATGCATCAGCAGAATTGAAAATTCTGAAATAACTCCTACAATAATTACTCCTAGAGAGTAGTCAATAATTTCTATAAAATACTAAAATGGACAATCCATTTCTATATAATTATGTACTATTAAATATATTGTCGACATATACCCCTGCCAGAACATACTTTGAGTTTAGAAGAATAAACAACCATGCACAGTTAGTAAGATAATTTTTTTCCCATAAATTATTGTGTGTACTTGCAGTCATCAATAACGTGGGTCCGCCAAAATATATATATATATATATATATATATATATATATATATATATATATATATAGGGTTTTATAAGAGTTATGTTGTAAGAAATGTTATTGTGTAATATTATAGAGATTCGTTTTGCGTGCATTAAATTTTTATTTATTTTTTTGTTTTAAAAAGTGTGGGCCCCACAAAATGTTGTGAGTGTAGGAAAGTTTGTTGTGTTATGTTAAAGGATAAAACGAAAACCCATATATATATATATATATATATATATATATATATATATGGGTTTTATAAGAGTTATGTTGTAGGAAAAGTGATTGTGTTATGTTATAGAGATTCGTTTTGCGTGCCGAAGTTTTTTTTTTTTTTTGCTACGGGCCCCACAAAATATTGTGTGTGGAGGAAAATTTTTGTGGTCATGTTAAATGATAGATGATAAACCCTATATATATATATATTAAAAGAGGTTAATTTTTCTTCAATTGAGACGGAAAAAGTCTCCTATCACTTTCACACAAAAAAAAAAAAAAACGGGTCCCACCAAAAAATAAGTGAGTCCCCATGCAATAAAGTTAGTTTAAGAAATTACATTATATAGACAAAAATTTTTTACAGTAATTGCAAAAATGATTTTATGGTATTACAATTGCTCCTAATTTTTTTGCATCATCAATCATGTCTCCTTAGAGTCAAAAGTTGCCAATTTTTTTCAGCATCATCAATCGTGCCACCCTTGTCTCCTTAAAGTCAAAAGTTGTCAACCTCCTTTATGTTAAAGTCAAAAGGTCTATATATGTATAATATTGACAACACTCTATTTTTCAACTATATCGGATTACACTATCTCAGGGATAATAATACAGTATATGTAAACAATATCACATGTACAAACAGTACAATATACTCGAACAAATATCATATATTAACAATAATGCAAATGTATACAACCACACATGCAAGCACTAACCTTGAATGATAACTAACAACCAATTGGTTGTGATATAACTGTTGGGTACTAGAGTATGGAAACAATATCACACACCGACACACAATATTTAACGTGGAAAGCACTAAATTGATAAAGGAAAAACCACATACGAGAATAGAAGAATTTTCATTAAACAAAAGAAATCAAACTCCTCTTATATTCAAGGAGAGAACAATTACACTATCTTTTGATATAGGAAAATATATCTCCCTACACATAATAGGAAAAACACTCACGCGACCCTATATGAATTTTCTCTCTAGGAATGTGTTGATAAAATTAATGAAGGAGACTTATATTTATAGGTGAATTTTACAAGTTACACATTGGTTGCCTATATAATTAATATGTGATTTATAAGATTTTGGACATTTTTTCCTTTTGAGCTAGCTTTTGGGGTGATGATCTCAATATCCATAACAATTGGTGCTTTCATTGAAAGTTGAGATCACAAAAAAGGCTACCTATAGGCTGGATTAAGGTGTCATATCTTTCAAAGAGGTGTTGTACTGAATACTAATAGATGAGCGAAGCCACCAAATGGGAAAGGACTACCACCGGGTCGGGTCAGTGTCGATAGAGTGAAAGCCGCCGTAGACGTCGGCCTTAAAGTGGGTGGCAATGTTACAAATCCCATATTGGTTGTATAAGCAACCAATGTTGGACTTGTAACAGTGAGAGTCTTTTTTTATGCACCATCAATCATGCCAACCACGAACTCCTTAAGGGGCATTTGGTAGAGGAGAAATTTTTTGTTCCTGGGATTCACGATGCCCAGAAATATGTTGGGACAGTGATTTTCCCAGAGATATTATCAAAAATCTATTTGGTATGCTAAAATATTCTCAAGAATGTTGGTTCAAGTTTCCTGATTCTATATTTGATTGATTTTAAATTATTGCGGAGAATGTGTGATTTTACAAAAGTAACCTTATGATTAAAAATTATTCAGCCTCATTTTCATTACCAATATGAATCTTTTGATTTGCCATAATCTCCTCCATCCTTCCCATCATCTAACAAGCTACCACCTATATAACCTTCATGCTTAGCTACAAATTAAAACGAAATGGAAACTACAATCATAAATTAAGGGGGGTGTATTAGATTGGAATTTTAAAGAATTTTAATAGATTATTTTTGGACAAAAAAATCCATTGGTATTCAATGAGGATTTTAAAGGATTGAAAAAAGTGACATGGTATTCGATTAGGATTTAAAAAAAACTATTTTAGAGTCCGTCCAAATCCGTTGGTATTCAATCAGAATTTTGAACAAAGGAAAAACAATCTTGTGGTATTCAAAAATCTAACGATTTTAATGGATTTTCTATTGGTGTGGATTTCGTGAGAGTTTTTAGTGAGAAATATAAATAGGATGTCTTTCTCACAATCTCATCATAACCCTTAGGATTTCTTGATATTTCTCTATTGCAGTGTCTTCTTTTTCCTTTGGCGGGTTGACCCGCTGGAAACCAGATTCCGCCATGTGAGCATCGTCAAAGCTCAAAAACAGCATATTTTTTAGCGATTTTAATCACAAAATAACCCAGAAATAACAAACCAACAAAATTCTAATATAATCCATCTCAAAAACAACATATTTTTTAGAGTTTTTGGAAGTTTAAAAAATGATTTTTCAAGCTATTGGTCACGATTTTTCTTGGCACAAAAATGTATGATTTTTGTATTAAAAACAAAATAAAATAGTGGAAAAACAACATAGAACTAAAACCCTCAAACCAATTTTTGTGTTACATCAACAAACAAGATCAATTTAAAGAAAAATTGAGACTTTCATAGTATAAACTCTATATTTCGTAACAATACATTCATGAACGAATTTTCTTCGTCATAGGAAACGATTTCAAATAATTTTTGTGTCAATAGATAACTAAAAACTTGTTTTTCAGAAGTCGCAAAGCATTTTAAGGTTTCAATGTATCGATTGAAAATAATTTGAGAAATTTTCTAAACTTTCATGTAATAAAACCTAGAAATTCAAATTCAAAATTTTCTTAAAATACTCAATGAAAACACGCATATGATATATGGTTAGAAAACTCTCATCAAGTAGAACAAAAACCCTAAGGTTTCCAAGATCAATTGCAAAAAATTCTAAACAAAATTTTATCATGAACTTTAGGTTCTATATGCAAATTCAGAATTATTTTAAAAAATAAATAAAAATTAGATCTAATAATCATATATGTATAGCTCTGATACCAAATGAAGAAGATAATTTTTTAACCCATTGGTCAAAACCAAGAGCAAGAACGAGAAAATGCTAATGCATGGAGGACCAGTATAGCTTTAGATATACGGAGAGATGTTGCGTAGTAATTTTGAGTATTTGTTAAAAATTGTATTATGTTTTACTGATTGAGAAAATTATATTATGTTTAACTTTTTTTATTAATATCATTGCATTTCTTTGTTATTTTTTTTTACTCTTGTAATTTTGAATGTTTGTTAAAAATTCATATGATTTTTTAAAATCTTATAAATCCATATTGTCCTTTAAAAATTTTATAAATTCTAATAAAATCCTTTAAAATCCAATCTTATAAAATCTTGATGGTAAAAAAAGTCTTTAAAGTCTCTCCAATTCTAAATAGTCTTTTAAAATCTATAAGATTTTTCATCTCAAACAAAATCTTTTAAAATCCTAATCCAATATACCCCTAAAACACCCAACTATGTTCCATGGTTTTGTTCTTCACTACAAAATATCTAATTACTATATTTTGTTCCAAGTGGGGTGGGCACAATATTGAAACGGATGAACTACATGATTAGGTATGAAATTATTATTGGTAAACACCACAAATCAAAATGCAAAATTTGATACATAATTTTGCGTAATAAAAATGCCTTGATTTTTATTCACCACACAAATTAAAACACCAAAGAGTAATCGACGAGCTCTAGAAGGAGATTTTAACACTTTGGACAATGCACCAACCACACCTTGGTCGAGTCCGCCATTGGCAACTAAGATACACAAAGGAAAAAGGGACTAAACAAACAACATCATCAACAAGGAATAGACCTTGAAGCACATGAAAAATGAGAGAAAAGCAACAAAGCAAAGCATGTTTGAACCAAAAGTGAACGCTTGGTTTCTAGGAAACAAACGTTAGAAAGGGAAGCGTCGAAGGTGATGGTGGGGATGTCGTGAAGCAAAGCTTCCGTTCTAAAAGTCTAAAAGTGAAAACAATAAGCTAAAAGAGAGAAAAAGAGAAAGATAACTCTTTTTTGCTTTTTCTGACAGTGTCAAAGGTGGTGGTGGCAGAGCGTGATGAAGCAAAGAGTTGCGAAAGTGGTTGTACAAAAAAATTTGGGAAATTTTTTCATCCGGTAGTATTCTTTAATGGGATTTTTCTTTACAAAAATAAATCACGAGAATCTGATTTTTCTAACAAAATTTTCACAATCCACGTACCAAACATAAGTAAATAAGATTCTCAATATCAATTTTTCCATAATCTAAAATTTACCAACATACCAAACGCCCCTAAAAGTAAAAAAATTGTCAACCACTTTTACCTCAAAGTTAAAAGATGCCAACCATCTTTACTTCATTGTCTCTCTCAAAGTCAAAATGGTTTTACCTTTTCTATTACTTCACCTAATCCGTGGGTTATTCCTAGACAGCCCAATATAGAATGCTCAATATATGGAGGGAGGAGAGGGTGACTTCCCCACACTAAGATGAAAAGTTCATCTACATATTTGCTCAAAGAAAATTATTTTATTAACCATAAGGATTCATCAATTTGATAAAGATTGTTGCAAGTCCTCTGTCTTATGCAGCAGCATGATGGCAAATGCAACTTCTTAGTTGATTAGGATATCATACAGTGGCTTGCATTAATTACTCGGATTATATCACCAATGAAGGGTTTAGATTTAGTACGTGTCATTTTAAAGAATGTAAGTTGTGTCCTTTTAGTTTTTTACGCTATGTACTCTCAGTAGTACATAGTTATAATATGAAAAATTATTTTTTTTTTCACTTTCCACGTCAGCTGATGTGACTGAGAAGAGAGAAAAAAAATAACTTTTCATATTATAACTATGTACTACCGGAAATACATAGAGTAAAAAAACTAAAAAGATACAACTTACGTCATTTAAAATCACAAAAAAAAAAAAATCCCTTTAATGAAAGAAAAACTCGAAAAGATTCCTAAACCAAATTAAGGGTAACAACAATTTCCTATTCTAAGTCTCATTCAAATAGGTGGTGAGGACAACCTGGGAAACAAATAAAACAAAGGGTAACAATGAAAATTTGATAACCTGTACACATTTTCAACAGATTAAAAGTTACCTCCTTTATGGGAGAAAGAAAAGAACCAACAGCAAACATGATTCAAAGACACAAATCAAAATGCAATCATCTCTCATAAGAAAAAAAATAATCATCTAATTAGAGCAGTTAATATATCAATTATGATATGAAGAAAAATAAACACAACAAACAAACAAACCATTACAATAATACAATAGATATTGCAAGATGAAAAATAATGAAAAAAAAGACTCATTAAAAACCAATCAATACCTGTGCTGCACTTAGAAACATCAACATCTACACCACAAGCATTGGGAAGCTTCAAGACATCATCCTTGGAAACATTGATGGATGTAAGGAGCTGAGGGTTGTTAAAGAAAGTGCATAGACAATCTGTTTCATTTATTTGCATCTCACTCAAGGGAACACAACAAGCAGGAGTAGGGTTATTTGGAGACTTCAAGAATTGTTGGCATGGAAGAAGCTTCTTCATGCATTGTGCATCTTTGAGAACTGGAACTTGTGCAAGGCCAGGAAGAATCTGGTCTAGATCAGAGAAACCAATGTGAATGAATGAAGATAATATGAGGAAGAATGAGAGAAGGGCATTGGAAGCCATGATGTTCTTCACCATTAAAAAAAATATATGAACAACATAAAACCAAAGGGAGGGAAGGCTTTGTTCCCTCTATTCATTCCTCCCTAGTATCTCATTTTTGGTGGAGGTTAATTATATAAATTAGAGGGAACATTCTATTTTTAAAAGGGTTGTTTTGAAGAGGAAATAGAGCCAGCCATCTTTGTTTATCTTAGCCATTACACCCTTTTCTTTCCCACTCTTTTTGCTAGTTTGGGAGAATATGTTTTGTATTTGACACTTCATTTCTCTACAACATTGGAATTTACAAAATTCAGGTGTAAGAGTTTTCATATAAGGTTAAGCAAAATAGATAAGCATGTTATTAGGATTTTATATAACATTTTTATTATCTTTGGATTATTAATAGATTGTAAAACCTTTTATAACTCTGAATTTAAAGAATACGAGTCATCTTGTAAAAGCTGAAGTGTTTTGAAGGGTTTCTTTGTAAGCAAAACATAAAATAGATATTCAAGAAGATAAAAATAAAAAAGTTGGAAAATGCATTCAAGGTTTCACATTATCTATGTACATATAAAAATAAAACGAAGATCTATGCACGTGAGGCTATGATACAAGCATGATAATTTGATGGTGCTACTTTATTAACTTTCTCCTTCCAATAAACTAACCATCCTTTGTTTGGAAGGAAAGGATAAAATCGAAGAAAAAAAAAAGGCAAAGCAAATGAAAAAAAAAAAAACATTAACTTAATATCGATTTAGTATAAAAAAATTATGCTATTAACGACAAAGAAAGTATATACAACATATTCATAGTTAGAAGCTTTTTCAATTATGATAAAAACGACATTACATGATTTATTAGTTATGTAAAATTCATTACATCTCATCATCTAATCCCTACCCCCATGATACAAAAAGAATAAACGAAAAACCAAAAGTCAAACAAAATAAAAAATAGTTTTGGTTTTGTTCTGCTTTCTTTGTATTAAAACTGATTGGTTTAGTTCGGGTTTAAATTTCCATTTAAGAAATAAAATTGAACAAATTAAACTCAAGAAAATCAAGCTTTTACAATTATATATTTTTTTGATAATTTACATACTTATAGATAATTATACTTTGTTATATTATAGTTTCTATTAAATTTTTTTACTCTAATTTACTGTTTTTATTTATTAGTGTTGCTTTTATTGATATTTAAATGAAAATCGTTGCTGATTGGGTCATATGAAAAGAAAAGAAAAGTAAAGCCAAATTTGTATATTTAAAAAAAAATGTGTTTGATGACAAATAGACTACACTAAATTAAATTGAAATAGTATTGGTTTGATTTGGTTCCAATTGGAAACAGATCAATGGATTCTCAACATAAGAAAATTTATTAGTTTGATTTAAATGAAATTTTCCCTCCATGCAATGTGGATTTTGGAATATCTCAATTCATTATATTAAAATTAACTTTAAAAGAATATAATCTTTGTCGCTTGAAGTTTGACCTGAATGCCAAAAATATTCTAACTAGATATAAATATATTTTAATGTTCAAGCTATATATATAGGTTATTCCTGATCACACTTGACCTAAAAAGGCATATTCATGAACATCTTGTGAGCATAGCAAATCAATGTGTTCCTTAAAAAGGATGAACTACAATGCAATTTCGTATAAACGACTTGCCTCTTACTCCTTTAAAAAGGATGAGTATCATGCAATGTCTTATCAGAATAAAAGATGAAATAAGCTTTTGAGTTGCACATGTATTTTGCTTCAACATGGCCCAAACTAACAAAGCTAAAGTGCTTTTTGTTTTTTCCAAGGTGGTATTCATTCTTTTGCTAGCTTATATAATTAATTTTTATTTTATTTTATTTTTCATTACTTGTTGACAACTCATGTAGTTTCAAATTTTTGTGATAGACTTATAATAAAAATTAATTAACACTACTTTCTTTAATCCATACATGTTCCATTATAATTGGAATAAGACGGCAACTCTATTTTTTCTTTTAATACCAATCGGTATTTGAAATTCTAATGCTCCTACTAATTATTTGATTTCGAATTCAAATCTTTTCACTTTTTGTATGTGGAAGTGATTATCAAGAAATGAATCCATTACCCTTTGGACAGGTCAAATTCTAAGTTCTAACAGCGACATCCCTAGACTAATAACTCTTGGATACCACAACTTGATTTTAGTACTAGTCATGGTTAATGTTGTATGATTTGAGAACTTGAATACAGTAAATAAAGTTGAAGATAATAATGACCTACATATTGAAATGATACACTGCTCTCTATGTAGGGGTGTAAATAGACTAGGCTGGTCTATAGAGGCCTACGACCTAGCCTATATTAAACCAGACTTGGTCTATTGTAAGTAGTAAAATAGAATAGGCATAGACTTTTAAAAAAAGCTATCTAGAAAACAGGTCATAGACTTTTTTGTACATGTCGGGCCTATAAGCCTACAGGCCGGCCTATATCATATTATTTATTTAAAATATAATAAATAAAATTATTATTTAATAATTTTGAATAATAAAATAATATTATTTTAGTTATTCATTTAATTGTTGAATGTTTAATAGGCTTAGACAGACTAACAGGCTTAGGCCAAGCTTTTATTTTTTGAATATAGGTCAGGCCAGACTTGTAATTTGGAGTCTACAAGGCTAATAGGTCAGGCCATACCAAATATTTTTTACACAAGCTTGGCCTATTTAACCTAGCCCAACCCATTTACACCCATAGCTCTATGGACTCTCTGCATGCATGCGAGCATAAGGAAATTTTCGACCTGTTGGAAGAAACTAAGCTAATTTTCTTTTTTTTTGTTGGTAACTAATCCTAATTACCTCTTTAAGGCGAATCAGAACCCCCGGTATCCCTACGGGTTCGACTCTTTGAGCCGCCTATGGGACTAATCCAGAGTTCGGGTGCGAGTTCAAGGATTACGGTACTTATGCCCCTCCCCAGATGGTGTTGGTGGGATTCGAACCGAAGTCCTCTCCCACCACTCAGTCCCGATGCTACCACTAAGCTAATTTTCTAATTAGCCATGTGACAGCTAAAAAGATATATATCATTGATCAATCTTTGCTTTGCTATTACACAAGTCAAAATTGAATTTGAATACTAACAGACATAACGAACCTGAAGATTATTCACTATTATATTTATAAAAGAAATAATTATACAGCATGATGAAAGTTATGAAAAAAAAAATTCATATGTTGACTTGCAAGATCTTCATAGGGAAGTAAACTACTACAATAAGTAACAATTATAAAAAGCTTGGGAAACAAAACAAAATATTTAGGACCAAAATACCTAGGAGATTTCTCTGCCAGAAGGAAAAAAAGAAAAGAATTGATCTTACAATTACATAAGTGTATAGCTAAACTTCCATACATGCTCTTCTTAAGGGCTAGTTAATGGCAGGTAGAGGACAGCAACCAGAGGAGTTCATGGAGAAGCTAACACTGTCTGATCCATGAGTGCTGCATTCTGGTGATTTCTTGCACATACAGTATGGTGATGTGTTCATCACCCTGAGTAAGAACAAAAGCATGCTTCAGCATCATAAACTCCCATCACAAGAGAATTTAATAACATAATGATATATAGGGTCATTGAATATTTCATATTATGTTAGTCTAGCCCCCAAAAAGAAAAAAGTAAACGCTAGAGGGTCATTGAATTTTTCAAACATGCTTCCTATTTTGTGTTGTGTGTGAGTGTGTAATTTCCAACCACAGAAAATTCATTTGGCACCAACATATTTGGCCAAACAACTTCAATGGTTCTTGGAAACACGTATTCAAAGAAAGAAAGAAGTTCATAAATTTTCTATTACCTTATATCATAATCAAAATAATAAGTGATAAAGAAAAATTAAGATAAACCAGCTGCAGCAATTACCTTTCCTTTCTCTTCTCCAAAAACCGAGCCAATGATGCTTTACGTGCCTGAGGCAAGAATACTGGTGGAAACACAATAAAACTTTGTTATTTATCACAATGCCTTACATAAAGTAGTATAAGATGGATACTAGCTACTAAAAAATATAGAGACCAGGTATGAATGTACCTGGTTGAACCATTTTTGAAGCTGAAGATCCTACAGAACCAACAACAATAGAAGACTCCAAATGGTTAGAAGGGGTAGTTGAAGGTCCTCCTGGTCTAATTATTGTGGGTTCATTGTTGCTAGAAGATCCTCCCCCAGGCTGAGAACTGGCATGAGAGATCAGTGGGAGAGGGCTTGGAAGGGGTGAGGGATAGGATTGGTTTCTAATGAAACCATCATCTTTGGAGGGAATAGAGATTGCTGGTTGCAACTTAGCTGTGGAAACTGTCATGTTCTGAATTGGAGCAGATAATTTTCCAGCCAGTAACATGATAGCCTGAGCCTGATGGATGGTGAAAATCAGAAAACTAGAAATATAAGTATATAAAGAAGAGTAAATACCGTTTTAGGTCCCTAACAAAAAACATGGTTTCCATTTTAGTCCTTTACAAAAAAAAATTAGTCAGTTGGTCCCTATGAAATTCAAAGTGGACCCATTTTAGTCCTTTTGAGGGACTAATATGGGTCTTTTTTGAATTTGTGAGGGACCACGATTTCAACTACATGGGTCCACTTTGAATTTGTTAGGGACCTCGAGACTAATATTTTTTTGTAAAGGACTAAAATGGGGACCGTGTTTTTTGTTAGGGACCAAAAAGGGTATTTACTCTATAAAGAAAAAGGCCTAATTTGAAGTTTTAACAGAAATAAGACAAGTTTAGAAAAAATATATACCTTCTCAGGTGATATGTCATCATAAACACATACTGAACCATCATAGAAAATGGTCAGCTGAGAAGGTATGCCAGAAGATTTGGAACAATTCCTACAGAAAAACACAAATTTCAGGTGTGCTACTCCACATTTCTCAACAAGATCATATCACACTTCAATATCTTTAGCAAGTAATTTCAGAGAAATCGAAAAATTTACAATTTTTTAGATGTTTTGAATTTACAATACCTTAAGCCAGTAGAGCCAACAATGGAACCTACTGATGGAAGAACAGATAGAGGTGTGCCAGAGGATTTGGAACCAAGAGGTTGTGGTTTTATGGCTGAATTGACCATGTTAAGTCCGGTAGTAGGAAGATTAGATTGAAGAACAGAACTCACTTGATTTGAATGGTTTGAAACTGTGAATACTCTTGCTTCCTGATGGCAAGCTGAATGTGCATCAGAACACTGCAGAGCATAAAATGCTATTCCATGTTTGTTTCCTGCTTGCTTGCCTATGGACAAATTTTTCTACAAAATATCAAAGTAAGAAAGAAAATTTAGTTGAAGAAAAAATTACATAGAGCATAAAATATGACAGTCACACTTTTCCTCTTCACTCATCAGTCATATCATAAACCACTAGGAATCCAAAGTAAAAGTGAAAGATAAAGGGTGAAACATTCAAATGTTATACTTAAAGGTGAAATTTCTTTGCTGTATGAGATTAGGCCCCTTGTAGAAATAACATCTAGTGTTTTAAGTTTAAAGCATTTCTTTACTGAAGAAACAAACCTGGGTCACACCCAAGAATGGATTCTGGTCAGATTCAAAAGCATCTTTAGTTGATATGTTCATGTATCCTGATGAAGCTAGTGGATCAAGAATAGTCTTTCTAGGCCTATCTTCTTGAGTGGTCTTGAAGGAAAGGAATTGAGGAAGGGCTGAGACCTTGTTTGAGAATGGCCACTGCATGCCTGAACCTCTAACTGCAACAAATTAAGGACAAAATGGTGTGGAACACTGGATCAAGCTCATGAGAGATGAAAACATGCAAAAGAAAATCAATCTGTGAATGAAAATGTTAATACATTGCATAGATACCTCAAAGATAAAAACAAGTTTAGCACTTTGGTGTGATATAAGTAACCAAATAAAAAAGAGTTGATTAATTGCTTTCAAGACCATGAAACAGCAGAATGATGATATTCTTGATGGTGATCTAAACTACTAAGAAAAATGTTCTCATCATGCTCACTAGGAACTCAAAGTGAACTAAGCAAAGACACATCAAATTTGCAAGAAAACTCTGAGCTTGTTGCAAATACCATCAATACATTTAGTATTAAATAAAGGAGAAGATGTCCCACAACCTATATTAGTCAGAAAATAATAAAGGTACAACTAATGACCTGAATGTTTCAGAACAACTTCAGCAACATCAATGAAATACTAAAAGAATTACCCTACAATAAACCTATTTGGTACAAGCTCTGGTAGCACTTTCCTCATAAGAAGCCAGAGTCCTTGTATTATTCACATATTATAATTATATCACATGTGACTATGTTAGTTTTATTGCAACGTCGGCAACATCTGGCAAAAAATGATTTAGAATACAAATTTAAAAAACCAAAGTAAGAAAAAAGTATATTAAATTCTTATGAAGCCTAGCAATATTTAATCATAGTCCACCATTTATTAAATGTTATTATTCTATTAGATTGAAATACTTTATTGCTTTATGTTGTCACTCTTTGTTTATTTTATTAAAATATTTCCTTCCGTAAGTATATTTTATGTAAACCTTATTGCACCAGTTAGTCACTACCATCAAAGATGGTCCTTTATTTTTCTAGGCCATTCAACAGTTAACACGTAGCATCACTCATGGCCATGTTAACAATACACACCCACAAAAAAATACATATTTACTATCCATAATATTAAATATTAAAATAGATCTGATTATCCTAATCATTTAAATATTGTACATCAATCTAAAACTGCAACGGAAGCAAGAAAAAGAAGTAGCACATTTTACAATAAAATAGAAAGAAAATAGCACCAGACAACCAAGACCACGTTTCTACTATGTACCAACCTTCTAACAAGAGAAGCATTTATTATTTATAAGCAATACAAGTGCCTTTTTCTCCTTCAACCAAAAAAAAATAAACTCATAGCACACAAGAAAGCAACTATGCAAGTTGCTCAAGTCCCCACCATATATCAAAACATCAACTATACACCATAAATACCATATGGACCCAGCTACAGTACTCATTTTTATAGTAGGTTGCAACTTGCAGGTAAAATGCCTTCACATTATAACCTTAATCCATCAGAAAAGTTAAAATTCTTGATCTTATCCATTAAAGGGAAAAACTAAAAGCAAACCAACAAAAGACCCCCAACAACAATTTCTGGTATTTTCTACTGCATATGGGTTGAAATGCATTTTCATTTTTTGGGTACATGTTCTTCCTTATTTTATTTCTGAGAAAACAAACAACAATTCATTGATAGTAGAAATCATAACAAAAGGGTATAAAAAAAAATTCCAAAAATGGAAATGAAAGTATCACCGTTATCACATCACAGTCATACCACTCAAAACTCTCAGATTTCAAATTTTCTAACAAATAGAACACCCCAAAAAAAGAAAAAGAATAATTGAAAAACTTTAGCAGTTAAGCTAATGGAAAACTTTCAATTTTCATATCAACGTGAAAAGTGCAAAGTTTCTATATTTGAGAAAAAAAATAAACAAATAATGAAAACAGCTACCTTGGTCTTTTGGGTTGTTGGCAGCATCACCATATTTGGAACTCAAGCCAAAAAATTCCCTCTCCATATGGTAAAAAAAATCAAAGTTTTGCTATTTGTAGCTATAAAAAGAATAAGACTTTAACAATTCCAGAGAGAAAAAGAAAAGAAATTTGATGTGTTTGCAGCAAATGGTTGCTTCTTCAGCTGGGAAATGAGTAGAAGAAGAAACAGAGACAACAAAACAGAGAGATATAGAGAGAGAGAGAGAGAGATTGAATGAACAAAAATAAAAGGCTCGTGTACACTGTTTGAAACATGAAATCTGGACAGTTGAATTAAAAGAGATTCGATTCTACGTGTCACTAGTTGGGTCGGGTCGGGTCGGAAACGGGTCTGACCATTCAGTGAGACAGTTACCACGTGTGCCCACCGAACTCGGTTCTTAATGACTGGTTGCTTTTTAAGATAAAATAGAAACCAGCGTTAATGAAACTGGATCCAATTTTTTTTATTTTATAAAAAATATTTTTAATTTTTTTAATTTAATGTAATAATTTTAATTTTAATTTTTTAGAAAAAAAAAATATACCCAATAAGTTATCATAAATTTTTTTGAAAAATATTTATTATTTTTTTGTGTTATTTAAATTAAATAAATTTATTCTGATTCATATTTGTTAGATTTTTTTATTCTTTCTTTTACAATACTCTCTCCTTCTTTTTCCCTAGTGAATGAGAGAGAATCTAATAAGTCAATAAGTAATCAAATAGTGGTAGCTCAGTGAATGAGAACTAAGCAGGTCAGAGTGAGAGCATGTATTCGAATCTCTCCAGTACCACATTTGGGAGGGATTCAAAGCCTTAATCTTGGACCCGCCCCGAATCGGATTAGTTGCGAAGCAATGAACCGAATGGAATATTTTTTTTTTAAAAAATAAGTCAATAAGTATAGACTTTAATGTTTTTTCGATGAATGTAAATAAATTATCTATATTTACTTTCAAAATAATGTCATTTTAGATTAAAAATTAAAAAATTTATAATGAGAAAGATTATTATAATTATAAAAATACCTTGATCTCTGCCGAAAACAATATCATTTTGGGTTCAATGTAGATAAGTTATCTATATTTACTGCAGAAAAAACTAACCCACAAATACATATCATAACACGGTTGGTTTATTTAAAATGATACAAAATTGTATATAAATAATTTTTACTAAATTTTTTTAACCTTCTCTTATTTATTTTTATCAAAAAGAAAATTCCTTTTTTATTTTTTATTTTCAAACCCTAGATTCAAACATGCCTAATATGTCCTGAAAGACTAAATTGCGTATTTTTGTTTAAAAAAATATAAGAGGGTGCTGGTGTCACTTGTCTTGGGTAAATATTTATAGGAGTAGGATCTGTTTACAAAAAATTTTTAAATTTTTTTGCAAATTATATTATGTTCTTCTGGAAAAACATAATGTAACGAGTGTTCTTCCGGAAGAACATAGTGTAGTTTTTAAGAATTTGTAAAAAAAAATGTTTGTAAATATAACATATCTCGTATTTATATGGATAGATTAATTAATTAATATTTTAGTTAGCACGCACATGTTGGGCTATTAATTAACTTTTTGTTTTTATTTTAATGATTAAACGTTTCACGAAACAAAGTAGAGAGATTCTATACGACTGTGGGCTGTGGCAATGGCAGCTTGTGTGTTAATATAATAACATTCAAAACCTTTATATTTTTTTAATTGGTCGAGGCTTTTTATACAAATAATGCAAATGTTGATTTAATCTAATTTTGCGTGCTTAATTTTCATGGTTGATTTAGTTCTCTACTTTAATCATTACAATCATTTTAATGCATTATGTATTATGTATTTTTTATTTGGTGATGAAGAAAAGACAAAAGCAACTTTTGACTATAGGATTTGAAACGGAAAAAGAAAATAAAAAATTAAAATATTAGGCACTCTCATCTTTTCAGCTAGTTTTAGGAGTGGTGCATTACAGGGTTCTTATCAAATGATATCATAACCTTTCACTATATCTCCAGGTTGCAATTGTGGGCACGGGGGCTGTGGAGCGTGGTGAAATATTACAATCCTACTTCAAGATATGAGATTTGGAGTCTCATATTGATTATAAAAAAAATCAATTATGTAATAATAAGAAGAGGGAAGAAAAGAGGGTTGTTATCAAAATTAAAGTAAGAAAAGGAAAGAAATAGAGGTTGGTCGAGGAGGGGATGAAGATAATATAGAATTGAATCGAATGGAAATAAAGAAAGGGCACATGGATAAGAATAAAAGTAGAAATGGTAATTAAAGAAAGAGAGAAGAAGCATGTGCAGGAGGAAGAGACAGCATGTGATTGGCGAGTCTTACTACTTTGTCCCCACGTGCCAATAATAATAATAATAACCTCGTGCCCTTCATTATTATTATTATTATTATTATTATTATTATTTATTTTCTCTCTCTTGTTCTTGACCCTACCTACAATCATGTATTATTTGTCATTTGGTTTTGATACCACATCCACATGATCACATCAGTGACGTAAGTAACATTGGAAAATGTTATAGAAAGAGGAACAAAACTTTGGTCGGTTCGGTAGATTTTTTTCATAAAGAAGAAAGGGAAAAAAACAAAATTTAATGTGAAAAAAATGTATCCAGTTGATACATTTATGCACCCAAGGAACAAAATTTTGTTGCATCTGATCTACCCAACTTGGTCTTTTTTTCTAAAAAGAAAAAAAAAATTAGTATGATGACTTTTTTTTCAAAAGTAGAAAAAAGATGTACCTAATTAAACACATCTGATACACTAAAGTTTTGTCCTAAAATTTATATATTTAAAGTTAAATTTTTATATTATTAACAATCCTTGATTAGATAAATAAAACATAATTCACAAAATGCGTGTGTTATTAATATTTCTCTTTTGAGTCATACAAGGAAATTTACCCACTTAAAATTAGGAAAAGAAAAGTGATGAAGTACCTTAAAATAGAGTCTTAGATTCATAATTCAGATAAAGGGGTAAACCCATGTTAGGACACTGAGTTGGGCTTCATGGGCCTTATTATTCTCATGATACCTTTTTATAAGGCCTTATTCCCAAGCATTTAGGCCTTGTTGATATATCATTTCCTAAGTGTATCATTGCAAGAAAAAGGGTTGCTAGTCTAATTAGTGTCTATATTTATTTAGTTTTTGTGCTGGGGTAACTCAATGTTAAAGAGTTATAATTTTTTTCCTAAAAAAGTTAATTAGGGAAGTAAGCAAGCTTTCTAGAACAATGTAAAATAATGTCATATGTAAACAATAAGTTCAACATCATTATGATTTTAATGCCAAATAAATGACAAATAAACAACTAAACAAGGTCTATAGTGGAAACTTTTCCTTTAATTAAGACAACAAATTTTAAGCATACTGAGAAGCAAAAAACTTTTTTATCCTTTATGAATTGAAATTCGCATATCATAAGGCAAAAAATGTCAATATTACAAATTACATAATAAAATACGAAAAAATGCCAGGCGGGTCTAGGGAGAAGCCGTGGCGGGGGGCCACCACCAATGGGCTAAGGCTACACCAACCGTAGCAAGTGGATCCGACACCATGTCTCAACCCAAAACCTTAAGGCATTGGGTTCATGGGTCCCTTCCACTTATATACTCTTCACTTAGCCCATTACCAATCAATGTGGGACTCATCACACTTGAATACTCTAACAATCTCCCCCTCAAGTGTGAAACCCACCATTGATATGCTCCCCCTTAACCGAGTACTCCAAGCGCAAAGTACTCGACCCGCCTCTAGCCAAACACCTGGCTAGCTCAAGCACAACCCGGCTCTGATACCACCGTTAGGCGGGTTCAGGGGAAGCCAGTGGCAGGGGGCCGCCACCAATGAGCTAAGTTACTCCAAGTACACCAAGTGGATCCGACACCATGTCTCAACCCAAAACCTTAAGGCATTGGGTTCATGGGTCCCTTCCACTTATATACTCTTCACTTAGCCCATTACCAACCAATGTGAGACTCATCACACTTGAATACTCCAACAATCTCCCCCTCAAGTGTGAAACCCACCATTGGTATGCTCCCCCTCAACCGAGTACCCGAAGCGCAAAGTACTCGACCCGCCTCCTAGCCAATCATCAGGCTAGCTCGCCAGGCGGGTCCAAGGGGAAGCCGTGGCGGGGGGCCACCACCAATGAGCCAAGTTATTCCAAGTACACCAAGTGGATCCGACACCACATCTCAACCCAAAACCTTAAGGCATTGGATTCATGGGTCCCTTCCACTTATATACTCTTCACTTAGCCCATTACCAACCAATGGTGGGTTTCACACTTGAGGGGGAGATTGTTGGGATATTCAAGTGTGATGAGTCCCACATTGGTTGGTAATGGGTTAAGTGAAGAGTATATAAGTGGAAGGGACCCATGAACCGAATGCCTTAAGGTTTTGGGTTGAGACATAGTGTCGGATCCACTTGCTACGGTTAGTGTAGCTTAGCCCATTGGTGGTGTCCCCCCGCCACGGGCTTCCCCCTCGACTCGCCTGATAGTGGTATCCGAGCTGGGTTGGGCTCGAGTTAGCCTGGTGATTGGCTAGGAGGCGGGTCGAGTACTTTGCGCTTCGGGTACTCGGTTGAAGAGGAGCATACCAATGGTGGATTTCACATTTGAGGGGGAGATTGTTGGAGTATTCAAGTGTGATAAGTCCCACATTGGTTGGTAATGGGCTAAGTGAAGAGTATATAAGTGGAAGGGACCCATGAACCCAATGCCTTAAGATTTTGGGTTGAGACATGGTGTCGGATCCACTTGGTGTACTTGGAGTAACTTAACTCATTGGTGGTGGCCCCCCGCCACGGACTTCCCCTTGACCGCCTGACAAAAAATAATATTTTTAAATCTATTTATGAATGTATAATAACCAATCGTGTCCAAAATTTAGCCTGATCGGTCGTGCCCAAACGTAGACGCATTAGGATGTTGGGTCACTAAATTTAACCTATAACAATAAACTTATAATGGTGCTTTTACGTGACTCAGTTATAGAGTTTTAATATTGTAAAGTGACTCAATTATAAAGTTTTTAAATCTAATGACGAAATTAAAAAACTTTAAATAATATAGAAATTTGCAATTTTTTTCAATTGTAAGGCTAATTTCTCCAGTGTTGTCATACTTGCAAATCAATTTAATAGAAGAAAATTACTTCACTAACTACATTCTCATATATACGTTTTCAAGTATTAAACTCTACGTCA